AGAGAGAGAGAGAGAGAGGGGTCTTCCATCCAATGGTTCACTCCCCAAGTGGCCGCAGTGGCCGGAGCTATGCCGATCCGAAGCCAGGAACCAGGAGCTTATTCCGGGTCTCCCACGTTGGTGCAGGGGCCCAAGGACTTGGGCCATCTTCTACTGCTTTCCCAGGTCATAGCAGAGAGCTGGACAGGAAGTGGAGCAGCCGAGTCTCAAACCGGCGCCCATATGGGATGCGGGCGCTTCAGGCCAGGGCATTAACCCACTGTGCCACAGTGCTGGCCCTGGTGGTTATTTTCTAGATTGGTCTTTCTTATTTTAGGGGTGGTCAGATCTGAAGTTTGAGTTTCAGTGTTTTGGGGTGTGGGCAAAGTAGGCCTGATTAGGCTTAGTTGAAAGTGCCACCACTAGTCCAGTTTCCCTGGAGTTCCACAGTGGGCTCTGATCTGTGTGCACATGACCTTTGGGAGGTGTTACTAGTCTTGGGGAGAACTTGGGCTATCTTTTCTTTTAAGATGTATTTATTTATTTTAAAGCCAGGGTAACGGAGAAAGAGAGATATAGAGATCTTCCATGTGCTGGTTCACTTCCTAAATGGCCATAATAGCCAGGACTGGGCCAGGTTGAAGCCAGCAGCCAGGAACTCCATCCAGGTCTCCAATATGGGTATCAAGAATTGAAGTACTTGGGCCATCATCCACTACTTCCCAGGCACATTAGCAGGGAGTAGTTAGTGGAGTAGCTGGGACTTAAACAGATACTCCAGTATGGGATATAGGCATCCCAAGTGACAGTTTAACCTGCTACGCCACTGTGTCCATCCTAGAACTTGTTATCTGATAGTAAACACGCGGATCCCAAGGGTAGGATTAGGATGTTTGGGATACTGTGTCTTGGCTGTTAATCTGTTTGTAGTATCTATTGTTCCCCAACACTGCCCCCTACCTGGGATTCTGAGTGACTTTTTCTGTTTTTTGACTGTTCAAATTTTCTAAAATAAACATGTTTCATTTTTATTAAAAATAGCTTTTTCTTGGAAAAATAGACTACAATAAATTGTTGTTTATATAGAATTAATTTAATTTGCTTTTAAGTAGAAATGAAAGTGCCTAAAGAATATATACGTTCGTAAGTACATTTGATAGTGGGGCAAAAGCAACTTATAAATTAGATGAGAACCAAAAAATTACAAAAAGGATACTGAGATCTAGGGAAGGATCCCAGTCAAAAGGTTTACAGGGTAAGCAGGGAGGAAACAGATGAGACACAAATACTGCTGTGCGCTCAGAAGTGGAGCCTGACAAAGCTAAAATACTTTCTAAATATTAACTTTGGTCGTGCTCAGCAATTTCATGATAGTCACGTTAGTGTGGCGATTGGTAAAGTGACAGGAAAGATAAAATTATGTGCCCATGCCCACAATAAAATTCAGGAATAGGTCATTTCTGTCTGTACCTCTTTGTCCTTTACTGTAGAAGCACAAGTCACCTGAGAGAAAGTAAATTGGTCACCTGTGTTCTGTAATAGCCAGGAATGTGGAAGCTGGGTCCATGAATAGACAAATTAACCAATTCTGAGCTTGAAAGATAGGTTTTTTTGGGTATCACTCTTCTTGCTCAGGATGCAAGAGTGTATGTTTAAAGGGCTGCTCGAAAGAACGGGCCATCAAAGAAGGAGGCACCTTTCTCTGAAGGGAGGAAGGAACCTCCACTGTGATATGGCCTTGACTAAACAAATTCAGAGTTAGTGAACTCAAGGGGCTTCCATAGCCTTGACAGTTCATGGCAAGAGCCTCAGGTGATTACTGACCTCATAAATAAGAGTGTCAGTAGTTAAATCAACAACGGGAGTCACTGGGCACCTGCTCCCCATGTAGGATCTCTGTCCTTAATGTGTTATACTATGAGAGTTAAAGATAACACTACTAGTCGAACAATACTCTATACCTTGTGCGGTTGTGTGAGTGCAGTCTGTTGAAATCTTTGCTTAGTATATACTAAGTTGATCTTCTGTATATAAAGATAATTGAAAATGAAACTTGATGAAGGGTGGGATGAGAGAGGGAGTGGGAGATTGGAGGGCTGCGGGAAGGAGGGAGGTTGGGGGGGGAACCACAACAATGCAAAAGTTGCACTTTGTAAATTCACATTTATTAAATTTAAAAAAATGGAAAAAATTAAAATAAAATAAAATAAAGGGCTGCTCTGTTACATCAGGATGCTCTCATTCACGTACTAGAAAACCTTGGGGTGGGCGTTTGGGCTAGCAGTTAAGATGCCTGCATCCCATATCAGAGTGCCAGGGTTCAGTGTCCGGCTCTAGCTCCTGACTCCCACTTCCTGCTCACACAGACCCTGGGAAGCAGTGGTGATGGCTCAGGTAATTGGATCTTTGCCAACCACATGGGAGACCTGCATCAAGTGTCTTCCCATTCCTAGCTGTTGTGGCCATTTGGGAAATGAACCAACGGATAGGAGATCTTTATCTCTCCATGTCTCTGCCTCTCAAATAAATAAGTAAGGTATTAGAAAGCCAGTGTCCTGGAAATGAAAAGCTTCCATTTGTCTTGGTTCTGAGTGCTCTAGTGTCGGGGAGTCATGATTTAGGCCAGAGGTTCCAGAAGAAAACGAACAGTGATAAATCACAGCAAGGCTGATGGCATCCTGGTGGGAGTGTGTGAGAGAGGAGCCATATGCCAAAGCCACAGCAACTCAGGGGAGCTGTTCCTGTTCATGGATTGCCCTTTGTTTCAAAAAGTGAGAGGAAAGGAAAAAGGAATTGTGGGGATGTTTGTCAAAGGATTTTTTTTTCCTTAATAGGTGTGGAGTTTCCAGAAGAAACAAACAGATCTCCTCATCGCCTTTCAAAAGCATAGAATCACGAAGTTGGAAGCAGCCATGCAAGAAGCACAGCAAACAATGGCCAGCCAGGACAAGTGGGTGACCCATCACACTCCCGGAGGCTTTATTTTTCCTTTTAGAGAACTATAGCCCTTATTTCCTTGTGGTTACAGAGTCTGAAAACCACTCCATTTTGGTTTCCTTTTTCCTCCTTCCGGAGGCCCCCCCACTTCCTAGCTGTCCTCTTATTTTCCTGCATCTAAAGCTGCTGCTACAGAGAAATCGGAGGTAACTAACTTACAGTGATAGCACTGAAAATGTTACCTCTGGGAGGGTGTTCTGCAGATTTTAAGCTAAAAAAGATGAGCTTCTTGATGGAAATTTGTAGGCATCAGCAGGCCAGGGGTAGGTGTGCAAAGGAAAGGAAATGCTGTGTAAATGTCATACAAACTTGTGACGTCATACTTATTTTGTCCACTTGATTGTTCTCACCATCAAAGCCTTACCATTGTCTTCCTGAGTCACCTCATTCTTTTTTTTTTTTTTTTAAGATTTTTATTTATTTATTTGACAGAGTTACAGACAGAGAGAGAGACAGAGAGAAAGGTCTTCCTTCCATTGGTTCACTGCCCAAATGGCTGCCACTGCTGGAGCTGCGCCGATCCGAAGCCAGGAGCCAGGTGCTTCCTCCTGGTCTCCCATGCGGGTACAGGGCCCAAGGACTTGGCCATCCTCCACTGCCTTCCACAGTGGCCACAGCAGAGAGCTGGACTGGAAGAGGAGCAACCAGGACAGAATCTGGTGCCCCAACCAGGACTAGAAACCCGGTGCCCATATGGGATGCTGGCGCCGCAGGCAGAGGATTAACCTAGTGAGCCATGGCTCCGGCCCCAAGTCACCTCATTCTTGATAGAAATACCTTGCATAGCTGGCAATATCGTTCAGTCAGCATTAAGTAGGGGGTGATAATAATAATTTTTTTTGTCCCCTGATCTCTTGGAGCTGATTGTTGACATCTTTTGCCTAGAGAGCTGTCTATGTTAAAAAAGGAGAATGGAGAGCTGAAGAAATATCTGGCCCTTCTAAAGGTGAATGCAACAGAGTTTCCTTACTATTCTTTTCTCTCCTACTGTTCCCATCTACAAAAAAGTTCATGGGGAAATGGAATTAAAAGAGAATATGCATTTTCTGTGAACTTTTTGAAGACCCCCTCATATGTAGCTGACTATGGAGTAGTGTTTACTTACCATTTTCACATCATGGCACACACAGAAACTGACATTTGTGCAAGCACGCAGTGTCAACGCACGGGGCCATAGAAGACTGGAGGGTTGAGAGGATCAGTGCGTAGCACCCTTTTAACCCATCCTCAAACATCAGCGAGTCCTGACATGCCAGCTGGGAGGGTCTCTGATACAAGAGACGGCTCTTGCAATTTAAAATTTCTTTTCAGAGAGCCCCAAAACCTCTAGGACCTTCTTCTCCCTCACATCCTATTTCCTACTGACCCCACTCCTGAAACTATTCTAGCACATTGTGATTGCGTCATTTTTCTTTCTCTCCCCAGAGACATGTATTAGTGGTCTGCGTGATTCCTGATGGGTTCTTATGAAGAGGAACTAAATTTTTATTCCCTGAAACTAATAATTTCCAAAGGAAACACTGCATTTTTTTCTTCTCCTACTGGGAATCTCAGCGACCACAACTAGGGGGCACTGCAGCTTAGTGATCTAACAAGTAAGACAGCTCCATTGTTAGGAGCCTTGATCTGCAGCCTCCTTTACTCCCATTTTTTTACCTACAGGAATCTCCAAGTCGGTACCAAGGAAGCAGGTTAGTTTTAACAGCTGCCACACTAGCTTCTCAGCCCCTTGAATTTATCTCTTTTTTTTCTTCAGTTCTTAAAAAAAGAGTTATTTTATTTATTTGAAAGAGTTACAGAGAGGAGAGGGAGAGAGACAGAGATCTTTCATCCACTGGTTCACTCCTCAAATGGCTGCAATGCCAGGGCTAGGCCAGACTGAAACCAGGAGCCAGGAGCTTCTTCTTGGTCTCCCATGTGAGTACAGGGTCCCAAGCACTTGGGCCGCCCTCCACTGCTTTCTCAGGTGCATTAGCAGGGAGCTGGATCAGAAATGGAGCAGCCAGGACTTGAACTGATACCCATATGGGATGCCAGCATTGCAGTTGGCAGCTTTACCTGCTAGACTACAATGCCAGCCCCTTCTTTTTATTTTTAAAAAAAGATTTATTTATTTGACAGGCAGAGTTACAGAGAGAGGAGAGACATACAGAGAGATCTTCTGTCTGCTGGTTCATTCCCCAAATGGCCACAACTGGGACAGGGCCAAGCCAAAACCAGGAGCCAGGATCTCCATCCAGGTCTCCATGTGGGTTCAGGGACCCAAGTAGTTTGGCCATCCTCTACCACTTTCCCAGGCATATTAGCAGGGAGCTGATTCAGAATTGGAGGAGCCAGGACTCAAATTGGTGCCCATTGGGATGCCGGCATCACAAGTAGCAGCATAACCCATGAACCACAATGCTGGCCTTTGTTCTTTCTCTTTTAAAAAAAAATTATTTATTTTCATTTTATTTGAAAGACAGAGAGAGATACAGAGAGCAAATGAAGAGAGACAGAAACAGGGAGAGGGAGGCATCTTCCATCTGCTGGTTCAAACCCCAATGATTACAACAGCTTGGGCTGGGCCAGGCCAAAACCTAGAGCCAGTTTGGGTCTCCCACCTGAATGGCAGGGACCCAAGTACTTGAGCCGTCATCTACTGCCTCCTTGAGTATGCGTTAGTAAGAAGCTGGATTCAGAAGCTGAGCCGGTTCTTGAACCAAGGTACTTTGACGTAGGATGAAGGCAACCCGGCTGGGGTCTTAACCACTGTGTCAAATGCCCACCCATCTGTTTCTCTCTCTCTCTCCCTCTCTCCCCTACCCTTTTAAAAATATACTCTGGGACCAGCACTGTGGCACAGCAGATTAAGCCTGCAGTGCTGGCATCCAATATGGGTGTACATTTGAGTCCTGGCTATTCCACTTCAAATCCAGCTCCCTGCTGATGTGCTTTGGAAAGCAGCGGAAGATGGCCCAAGGCCTTGGGTCCCTGCACCCACGTAGGAGACCCAGAGGAAGCTCCTGGCTCCTGACTTCGGATCAGCTCCGCTCCAATCTTTGCAGCCATTTAGGGAGTGAACCAGCGGATGGAAGACCGCTCTTTCTCTCTCTGTAATTCTGACTTTCAAATAAATAAAATAAATCTCTAAAGATTTACTTCTTTGAAAGGCAGAGTGATGGAGGGAGAGGGGGAGACAAAGAAGAGAGAACTCTGCCATCTCCTGGTTAACTCCCCAAATGCCTGCAACAGCCAAGGCTGTGTCGGCTGAAATCAGGAGCCAGGAGCTCCCTCTGGGTCTCCCACATGGCTAGCAGGAACCCAAGTACTTGAGCCATCATCCAGTGCTTCCCGGGTGTATTAGCAGGAAGCTGGATAAGAAGCGCCAAGAACCCAGGACTTGAACAAGGCACTCTGATATGGGATATGGGCATCCTAAGTGGTGGCTTAACCTGCTGAACCACGACACCCCCGCCCCATTCTTTCTTGACTCTTGGTTCTGTGAGCTTTGAGATAGAAAACAATGGTGGATGGATTTATACTTCTTTGAGAATTATTTGCTGAGAAGTGCTGAAGTGAAATCTTGATTTTGCTGCTCACTCTTGAATGTCATTTTATGAAAGCCTACTCGTCCTTCACAATTCAACTCACATCATTTTCTCTGCAAAGCATGTGTAAGTGCCTGCTATTGAACAGATACTGTGTTAGGTGCTAGGTGTACAGCATCAGTCTTTTCTAATCAGTGATAACAGTTGTGCCCTGCCAACTGTTAACTCTTTTTAATATCAGTCCTGCATTGGTGGAATAAAAAAGATACGGCATGGCGGGTGTTATGCACAGTGGGTCAAGCTGCTGCTGGGGATGCCCATGTTCTGTACTGGAGTACCTGGGATATAGTCCTGCTCCCATTCCAGACACAGCTTCCCACTAACAGGCCTGGGAGGCAGCAGCTGGTGGCTCAAACACTTGGGTCCCTACTACCCAACTGGGAGACCTGGATGAAGTTCTGGGCTCCTGGCTTTGGCCTGGCCCAGCCCTAGCTATTATGGACATTTGAGTGAACCAGCAGATGGAAGATCTCACTCTTTCCCACTCTGCCTTTCAAATAAATGAAAATAAATGATTTTTAAAATTTTTTTAAAGATTTATTTATTTATTTGAAAGAGTTACACAGAGAGAGGAGAGGCAGAGAGAGAGAGAGAGAGAGAGAGAGATCGATCCTCCATCTGATGGTTCACTCCCCAACTGGCTGCAGTGGCTGGAGCTGTGCTGATCCGAAGCCAGGAGCCTCTTCCGGTTCTCCCACTGACTGCAGGGGCCCAAGGACTTGGGCCATCTTCTTCTGCTTTCCCAGGCCACAGCAGAGAGCTGTATCGGAAATGGAGCAGCTGGGTCTCGAACCTGCGCCCATATGGGATGCCAGTGCCTCAGGCCAGGGTGTTAACCCACTGTGCCACAGCGCTGGCCTCAAGTAAATGATTTTTAAAAAGAAAACATGGTCCCCCCACACACAGAAGTTACAGAATAATGTTCTTTCATAGTTCTGTCCTTTTTACGCATTCATTATACCAAACATTGCTCTGCTTTTTTGTCCCTCCCATTAGCCTGTGAGTCTCTCTCAAAGAGAGGGACCTTTTTCTTTTTTTAAAAAAAGGATGTACACAGAGAGAAATAGATCTTCCATCTGCTGGTTTACTCCCCAAATGGCGTAACCACTGAGGTTAGTCTGGGTTGAAGTCAGGAGCCTGGAACTCCCTCTGGGTCCTCCACATGGGTGGTGGGGACTCAAACACTTGGGCCATCTTCCACTGCTTTCCCAGGTGCATTAGCAGGAAACTGGATTGGAAGCAGAGCAGCCAGGACTTGAACCCCATGGGATGCTGGTATTGCAAGTGGTGGCTTAACTTTATGCTGTACCACAATACTGGTCCTGAGAGGAACTTTATTCTAATTCTTTTTTTTTTTTAAGATTTTATTTCATTTATTTGAAAGGCAGAGTTACAGAGACAAATATCTTCCATCCACTGGTTCACTACCCAAATGGCTGCAATGGGCAGGACTGGGGCAGATCAAAGCCAAGAGCAGGAGCCTCTTCCAGGTCTCCCATATGGGGACTTGGGTCATCCTCCATTGCTTTCCCAGGCACATTAGCAGGGAGCTGGGTCAGAAGTGGAGCAGCTGGGACTTTTTTTTTTTTTTTTTTTTTGACAGGCAGAGTGGATAGTGAGAGAGAGAGAAAGGTCTTCCTTTTGCTGTTGGTTCACCCTCCAATGGCCGCCATGGCTGGCGCGCTGTGGCCGGCGCACCGCGCTGATCCGAAGGCAGGAGCCAGGTGCTTCTCCTGGTCTCCCATGGGGTGCAGGGCCCAAGTACTTAGGCCATCCTCCACTGCCTTCCCGGGCCACAGCAGAGAGCTAGCCTATAAGAGGGGCGACCGGGACTAGAACCCGGTGTGCCGGCACCGCTAGGCGGAGGATTAGCCTGTTGAGCCATGGCACCGGCCGCAGCTGGGACTTGAACCAGAACCTGTGTGGGATGTGGGCACTGCAGGTGGCGGTCTCTCTAATTCTTATTCTAAACCTCATTGTTTGTAATCTTGGGATACAGGACAAATAGACACTGAATGAATGCTTGTAGATGGAAGGATGAGAGGATGGAGGGATGAGTGAATAGATGGGCAGATGTAAAGTTGAGAGTCCTCGGTATGGCACTGACGGAGAGAATGGAGGAGTACTTCAAAGCTGTCATGGGGCTGGGCATTATAATGCAGCAGGTCAAACTGCTACAGGTTAAGCCACCACTTGAGATACCTACATCCCAAATCAGAGTGCCGGTTCAAGTCCTGGCTACTCTGCTTCTGATCCAGCTTCCTGTTCGTGCACCTGAGAGGCAACAGATGATGGCTCAAGTACTTGTGTTCCTGCCTCCCACATGGGAGACCTGGATGGAGTTCCTGACTCCTGACTTCAGCCTTGTCCAGCCCTGGCTATTTGTGACTTTTGGAAAGTGAACCAGCAGATGGAAGAGCCCTTTCTTCTCTGTCTCTCCCTCTTTCTCTGTCACTCTGCCTTCCAAATAAAGTAAGTCTTTAAAAAGAATGACCTCTATTATGGACAGCAGAGAAGTAGACCAGGTTTCATTTAGGGAGTTGGGGAGCAAAGGGGTCTCCTTTGGAAACGCTGCCTCCATGTGAAGTGATGCCTAGAATTCATGAGATTTGTGCTCAGAGAAGCCATTATTCCTGTAAATGGTGATCTGATTGGTGCTCAGAAGTGGTACTTCTGCTCAGAGATTGGAATGCCTGACTCACGCTCCCTCTCCTTACAGGTTGACCACACCCCGACCAGTGGGCATTACTTCCCCAACACAGTCAGGTAGGGAACCGTGGGTAGATGTCCTTTCCCCGCATGGAGGATGCTCTCTTCTTGTAGACCATAACGCGCCCCTCCTAGTATTACGTGTGATGCGGAAACACCATACAACCAGATAACGAGTGCCAACCGAATGGCGAGGCTAGGAGGACACCCCATTGATGGCAGGTTTTGTCTGCACCCCATTGTCTTTCAGTGACTCCTCGGCCCAGTTGCCATCATAGTAGCCAAGTGGTCAGGTGAGTAGAAAGCCTCCACAGAAGCCTTAGAACTATCGGCAGAGGTTGGAGTACGAGAGAGAGCTGTAGAAGCGATTCAGACCGGGGCTGGGACCAGGTCCACGTAAGTGGCTAACGGCAGTTTGTTTTTGTCTCACCTTACATAGTCGATCTTCCTCAGTGGAGTCCATCCCTTACAGAGTGGCTGACTTTGGTAGCATAGGACAAGTAAGTACTAGTCACCTTTTCTGTCCAGCCTGAGGGTTCTGTGCTGAACGAAAGCAAAATTTAAGTCAAGACTCTGAAGTTTATATTGGTTTGGGCATAAATCATCTGAGGCCGTGCCAGACCCAGTTTGTCTTCTGGCAGTGGAGACCTGCTGCATATGCTGACAGAGCCTGGGTCGGGGAAGAAGGAGTGGGTTTGTTCAAGGGCTGAATTAACAGTGACAGTCCTGTTCGTTGTGGGAGTAGTAAAGCATGGATCCTTCTTAGACGAGGCTGCCCTCTGCGGGAGAACAGTGTCTGCTTTAATGTGTAGGTGGAGAGAAGTAGCAGGGATTAGGGAGGCCAGAGAACCAGGGTGTCTTTATTGATATCTCTGTTTGTCCATCAGGGCAGAGGCCTGCAGGGAAGGAGCACTCCCAGAGACTCTTACACTGGTGAGTGGGGGAAGAGGCGGCAGAAGTCACCATGCTCTGCGGGGCCAGTGGGTTGGTTTCTAATGCATAATATAATGCGTTTGCACTTTGGTTTTTTTCTAGATAGTGATTCCAGGTATCCAGACATATATTACAAGTCTGCTGCTTTTCTATTTAAAGATTTATTTATTTATTTATTTGGAAAGCAGAATTACAGAGAGAGAGGAAAAGACAGAGAGGGAGATCTTCCATCTGCTGGTTCACTCCCCAAATGGCCACAAAGTCAGGAGCCAGGAGCATCCTCCTGGCCTCCCATATGGATGCAGTGGCCCAAGTTCTTTTTTGCTTTTTTTGCTTTTTTCCCAGGCAAACAGCAGGGTACTAGATTGGAAGTGGAGCAGCCAGGAATTGAACTGCACCCATATAGGATTCTGGCATAACTGGCGGCGTCTTTACCTGCTTACACCACAGTGCACACCCCTACATTTAAAGAAATGCTATTTTGAGGGGCTGGTGCTGTGGCAGAATAGGTTAATCCTCCACATGCGGTGTGCCTGTTCGAGTCCCAGCTGCTTCTCTTCTGATCCAACTCTCTGCTATGGCCTGGGAAAGCGGTGGAAGATGGCCCAAGAGTTGGGCTCCTGCACCAGCATGGGAGACCCAGAAGAAGCTCCTGGCTCCTGGCTTCAGATCAGCCCAGCTCCGGCCATTGCAGCCATTTGCAGCCTTTCTTGCTCGCTCTCTCGCTCTCTTGCTCTCGCTCTCTTTTAAAGATTTGTTTTATTTATTTGACAGACAGTTACAGAGTGAGGTGGAGCCAGAGAGAGCCAGAGAGAGAGAGAGAGAGAGAGAGGTCTTCCATCTGCTGGTTCACTCCCCAAATGACTACAACAGCCGGTGCTGCACCAATCTGAAGCCAGGAGTTTCTTCCTTGGTCTCCCATGTGGTTGCAGGGGCCCGAGGACTTGGGCCATCTTCTACTGCCTTCCCAGGCCATAGCAGAGAGCTGGATCGGAAGTGGAGCAGCTGGGACTCGAACTGGCGCCCATATGGGATGCTGGCGCTGCAGGCCGCAGCTTTAACCCACTGCGCCATAGTGCCGGCCCCCGCAAGACCTTTCTCTCTATCCCTTTCACTGTCTGTAACTCTATCTCTCAAATAAATAAATAAAATATTTTTAAAATACTAATTTTGTTCTCAAACATATAGGGGGAAAATAAAATTTGAACTATAGAAAACCATTGGGAACAACAACAAAAAAAACTGACTTGGGGCCAGCACGGTGCCATAACAGGTAAAGCCACCGCCTGAAGTGCCGGCGTCCCATATGGGCACTGGTTCAAGACTTGGCTGCTCCTCTTCCGATCCAGCTCTCTACTATGACCTGGGAAAGCAGTGGAAGATGGCCCAGTTCCTTGGGCCCCTGAATCCCTGTGGGAGACCCGGAGGAGGCTCCTTGCTTCGGATTGGCGCAGCTCCGGCCATTGCAGCCATCTGGGGAGTGAACCAATGAATGGAGGACCTCTTTTTTTTTTTCCTTCTTCCCCCCCCCCCCCCCCCGTGTAACTCTGACTTTCAAATAAATAAATAAATCTTAAAAAAAAAAAAAAAAAACTGGCTGAGAGATGAAGGTGAACTTTTCAAACAATTGGCTTGGATTTTTAAAATTGCCACAAGATGGCAGCACAAGGAAGCTTAAAAAGATGCTGATTGTCTGCCTGAAGGGTATCTGGCTTCTTCACTGTCTATTGTACATAAAAATATTCTAGTGAGGAAATATTTTGGTTCTAGCCACTTCAATTTTTGTCCATATACCCTTAAAACTTTGACTGTTGTTACTGTTTCAAGGGCATTAGCCAGTCCCTAGAGAAACTATCAGAAGAATTTTCCTTTCTTTCCCAAGAGGCCAGTTAAAAATTCATCTTTTTAAGATTTATTTATTTTGGGCCCGCGCCGCGGCTCAATAGGCTAATCCTCCACCTTGCGGCGCCGGCACCCCGGGTTCTAGCCCCGGTCGGGGTGCTGGATTCTTTCCCGGTTGCCCCTCTTCCAGGCCAGCTCTCTGCTGTGGCCTGGGAAGGCAGTGGAGGATGGCCCAAGTGCTTGGGCCCTGCACCCCATGGGAGACCAGGAGAAGCACCTGGCTCCTGCCTTCAGATCAGTGCGGTGCGCCGGCCGCTGCACGCCAGCCGTGGTGGCCACTGGAGGGTGAACCAGCAGCAGAGGGAAGACCTTTCTCTCTGTCTCTCTCTCTCACTATCCACTCTGCCTGTCAGAAAAAAAAAAAAAAAAGATTTATTTATTTTGAAGGAGTTATAAAGAGAGAGAGAGAGAGAAACTTCCATCTGCTGTTTCATTCCCCCGATGGCCACAATGGCCAGGGCTGAGCCAGGCCAGAGCCAGGCCAGAGCCAGGAGCTCCATCCTGGTATCCCACAGGGGTACAGGAAGCCCATGTGCTTGGGTCATGTTCCATTGCTTTTCCCAGGCCATTAGCAGGGAACTGGATGGAAGTGTAGCTGCTGGGACCTGAAGCAGCGCCCATATGAATGCCAGTGCCGCAGGCAGTGGCTTTATCTGCTGCACCACAACACTGGCCCCAGAAATTCATTTTTTAAATTCACCAGTCTCCCTTTAATTCTCCCATGTTCACCTTTTTGAAAAATATAGAGGTTCTAGCCAACTGATTTCCATCAGGTTGGTAGAAGTTTTTCTTCTTTCATTCCTGATATTTATAAAGTGAGTCCTTCCCCTTTCTTTCTTGGCCAGTCATTTCAAAGAATGTTCTAAAGATATTTAAAATTTAATTGAAGGCCAGAGCATGAAAGAAAGAGAGAGAGGGAGAGGGAGAGGGAGAGGAAGAGAAAGAGAGATCTTCCGTCCACTGGTTCACTCATCAAATGGCTGCAACAGCCAGGTCTGGGAGAAGCTAAAGCCAAGAGCCAGGAACTCTGTCTTGGTCTCCCACAGGAGTGGCGGGGACCCCAGTGCTTGGGCCGTCCTCTGCTGCCTTCCCAGGTGCATTAGCAGGAAGCTGCATGGGAAGCAGGACGGCCAGGACTCCAGCTGGTGTTCTGATGCGGGATGCCAGCTTCATCGCAAGCTGGGGCTTCACCTGCTGCACCCAGCACCAGCCCCAGACCAACTTTTGGTTTTGTTTATTTTCTCTATTTTTCTTTTTCTCTGTGTTAATTATTTCTAATTTAATCTCATTCTGGATGATTTAGATTTAGTTTGTTCTTTTTCTGTTTCCTTAAAGTAGAAGGTTAGATTATTGATTTCAGTTTTTATTTGCCTCATGTACTTTAGGATATGAAGTTTTACTTGATGTGCTGTAAACAACTCTGTTGTTGGGTACAAATGTATTGTATCTTCTTGAAAGACTGTTTTCTCCACTAACAGTTTTGTCTTAAAGTCTGTTTTGTGTAATATTAGTATAGCTACTCCAGTTCTCTTTTGTTCATTGTTTGCATAGAATATATTTTTTCATAGTTCTACTTTTCAATCTATAAATATCTTGAATCTAAAGCAAGTCTTTTGATAGTGTATAGTTGGACAGTTAGTTATTACCATTTAAAAAAAATTTTTTTTTAATTTGAAAGGCAGAGTTACAGAGAGAAGGGAGATCTTCCATCCACTGGATACTCCCTCAGTGGCCGGGGCTGGGGCAAGCCAAAGCCAGCAATCTGGAACTCCCTCTGGGTTTCCCATGTGAGTGCAGGGGCCTAAGCACTTGGTCCATCCTCGTCTGCTTTCCCAGGCACATGAGGGAGCTGGATTGTAAGTGGAGCAGCTAGGACACAAACCAGGGCCCATATGGGATGTCAGTGTCACAGGCAGTGGCTTAATCCCTTGTACTACAAACCCACGCTCCTAGTTTCTGTTTCAGTTGGAGAGTTTTATCCATATACATTTACTGTCATTACTGATAGGAAAAGACTCTCTTTTGCCATTTTGGTGTTTGTTTCCTATGTCTTACGTCTTTTTTGTTCCTCAGTTTCTCACGTCACTGCCTTCCTTTGTGTGAAATATTTTCTTTTTTTAAAAAAAATTATTTATTTGAAAGGCAGAGTGTAATAGAGAAAGATCTTCCATCTACTGGTTCATTCTCCAAATGCCTGCAACCAGGGTTGGACCATGCTGAAGCCAGGAACTCCATCCAGGGCTCCTACATGGGTGGCAGGAACCCAAGTACTTGGGCCATCATCTGCTGCATCTCATGCACATTAACAGGAAGTTGGGGCAGAAACAGATTGGCCAGGACTTGAACTGGAACTCTAATATGGGATATGGGCATCCCAAGTGGTGGCTTAACCTGCCAGGCCACAACCTGTCCCAGTGTTGGAACTTAAAAAAAAAAAATATATATTATATATATATATAGAATTGAAAGGCAGAGTTACAGAGAGGCAGAGGCAGATATATAGAGAGAAAGGTCTTCCATCCACTGGTTCACTTCCCAAATGGCTGCTTCAGCTGGAGCTGGACTGATCCAAGCTGGGAGCCAGGAGATTTTTCTGGGTCTCCCATGTGTGTGCAGGGGCCCAAGGATTTGGGCCATCTTCTACTGCTATCCCAGGCCATAGCAGAGAGCTGGATCGGAAGAGGAGCAACCGGGTCTAGGACCAGCACCCAAATGGGAAGCTGGCACCTCAGGCCAGGGCTTTAACCCACTGAGCCACACCTTTGGCCCCTACTCCAAGTCTTAGTAAATTTGAGTTCCAAGTCAAGTCAAATAATGACACCCTTGCAAGGGGGTCCACTAGCCAAGTCAAATGAGAGTCCTCTAGGAGTGGAGCTTTGAAAGAACTCTGGGGACGACTAGACTTCGTGATTGCCGTGAGTGTAGCATGCTGGTTTTCAAAGCTATCATGCAGCTGAAGGAGAATGAAGAATTCTTTTTAACCAACAGTCAGCTGTTTTTCCTAAATAAGCATTTACAGATTGCTGCAAGCCCTGAATTGACTCTCAGAGTTCTGAAAAAGTTGATTCTGGCCATTTTCTCATTTCTTACAATGGAAGAGAATTTTTGGAGGCCTTTGTTCCACCGCTTTTCCTGGCATCACTTGTTAGCCAGTTAATGGCTTTGTCTTTAGCTCTTCTTTCTGGTTATCAGTCTTCGAGGGGAAACCAAGGCAGATACATTAGGGCTCCTCAAGGCTGCTGGACTCACAAACTTATGGAGGGGAAAGGAAAGCACCTACAGGAGGCTGCTGAGCGATTTGTGAGCCTTTTCACTTACCATTAGCCCCAAGCCTAACATAGGTACTGCTTTTGCCCTGGCGCCAGTGTACCTACATTCCCCTTCAGGCCGAGGACTGTCTCACCAGGTCGTTTTTATGCTTTTCAGAAACCCCTTCCCCAGCTTCATCTCACAGTCTTTCTTACAGGTGAGTGATGCTGTGCTTCTTTCTCCTGAGATCTGTCCCCTCTGTCCCCGCGGACATTCTGCCGGCTGCCCGCACGGGGTGCTTCCGTCCTGGTCTGCCCCACTGATGAGAGAGAAGGGGGACCGGCATTGGGTCTACTGTGCCTATGAGTAATTTCTTTTTTTTTAATTTCTTTTTTTATTTTTTATTTTTTGTTATTTTTTGACAGGCAGAGTGGACAGTGAGAGAGAGAGAGACAGAGAGAAAGGTCTTCCTTTACCGTTGGTTCACCTTCCAATGGCTGCCGCGGCCGGCATGTTGCGGCCAGCGCACCGCGCTGATCCGAAGGCAGGAGCCAGGTACTTATCCTGGTCTCCCATGGGGTGCAGGGCCCAAGCACTTGGGCCATCCTCCACTGCACTCCCTGGCCACAGCAGAGAGCTGGCCTGGAAGAGGGGCAACCGGGACAGAATCCAGCGCCCTGACCGGGTCTAGAACCCGGTGTGCCGGCGCCGCAAGGCAGAGGATTAGCCTAGTGAGCCGCGGCGCTGGCCGCATATGAGTAATTTCATCTTATTCGTAGCAGGGGATTTTCTTTTTCTCTCTGGCCTTTCCTTTCCTTTGCTGATGCTCTTATTTCTGCTCTTCAGGCCTTCATCTGCCTCCTCTGGACAGGGGATTTTTTCTTTCAGATCATCCCTAACTGGGGACTCAGGCCCCTTCAGAGTCCGCACTCCTAACAGTTCTGGTAAGTTAAATAATATTCTCAAAGGAGGGGCCTCAGCCATTGAATGAAGATTCTCAAGGTGACAGGAAGTTGAGATCGACCCCTCAAAGAGTACTGTCTCCAGTTTGGTTCCTTAAAGAGTCATCCCATGTCCTTCACACTGAAGGGACGCTCTGGGTCTTTCCTTAATAGAACTCATCCTGTCACCCATTGAATCTGGTTATTTATCCAGGTTAGCCAACAGGATTAAGCTGGCTTTTTTATTTGTTTGTTTTACTGAGATTGCTATGTTGAACACACTGGGAGCTCAGTTCTGAGGACTGTAAAACCTCTGCTGCCAGTGCTCTTGATGAGCAGCTGCCACCTTCCACAGCTCACCCAGATCTTCATTTATTCTTTATTTTTATAGACTTTTTTTTAAAAAAAGATATTTATTTGAAAGGCAGAGTTACAGAGAAAGATCTTCCATCTGCTAGTTTGCTCCCCAGATGGCCACAACGGCCAGAGCTGTGCTGATCTGAAGCCAGGACCAGGAGCCAGGAGTTTCCTCTGGGTCTCCATGCAGGTGCAGGAGCCCAAGGACTTGGGCCATCTTTTACTGCTTTCCCAGGCCATAGCAGAGAGCTGGATTGGAAGTGGAGCAGCCGGGACACAAACCGGTGCCCATATGGGATGCTGGCACTGCAGGTGGCAGCTTGACCTGCTATACCATGGCACCTTCTTCCACCCAGATCTTTAGATTTTTCCCTACATCTTTCCACTGATAGTTAAATCTCAGACCTCTGTCAGTGCCCCATCCTAACAGGAGAATGGACTTTATAATCCACCTCTTACATTGCTTAGCTAATAGTCTTTCCCCTTCTTAGTGTTCCTTTGGTTAAGAACTACCTAGTTACCCTGACCCATAACTAACACTGCTGAGAAGTGCCCAAGCAAGTTACCTCTTACCATTCCATTCCATTCACCAGGTCCCAGGGAGGGCAGAGCCACACAGGACAGTCTTCCTGGTCTCCAGCTACCAGCCCTGCAGGTGAGGCCTGGTAGCCTAACTTGTGTGTGTATAGAAACTTGCGTGGTTCTGCTTGCCCACTAAGTTCTTCATCCTGGTCTCCTGTCAGGGTGGCAGGATGTAGCCAGCGTGGTGAGCATATGTTCACAGGTTTCCAGAATGGCCTCAGTTTCGGGGAGTACATCATACTGTCATACTATGTTCCCAGTGAGGAGTTTTAAATTCAGTCATGGTACGGATAGGCTTTGAACTGAGAGGTCTTGGCCAGGGTGAAATAAGTGTGGGCCCACTGACCCTGACGTACTTTCAACTGAATGTATGTTTTCAGTGGAGGTTCTGTTTGAACTAGGAAAAAACATGTGAAGTTCTTCAGAGACAGCTAGAATATTGCTTTATGAGGCTATGATTCTGATCCAAGCCAAAAAAGAAGCGAGCTTGATAATGAGGAGCTCTGTTAAGTGGAAAGTCCATTCCAGCCTCTTGGTGACTTGGGTTTTGAGGGTATGTGGGCCCTTTATTCTACTCCAAGCTCCTGGCAACCCCAGGGATAGCTCTTTTACACTAAGGTAGATATATCTGTTGCCACCTTATTCCAAAATGTCCCTTATTTTCATGCAAGCAGTTAGGTTCTAAGCCTTAAGAGGCAACACAGGGGAGAAAGCATCCCTCCCTAAGGTCCTTGTAAGTGGAGGGATTGACTTAGATGGAAACAGACGTCAGAGACCTGGAGACTGTCTACAAATACATGGCCCCTAATGGTGTCTTGATTGAAACAAGCTGTAAAAATCCAAGAGCAAAACAAAACTAAAACCCCTGTAAGAAAGTTGAGGAAAATTGAGTTATCAATTGAAACATTTATTTAAAGCATTCCTAATATTGAGGTTAATTGTTAGGTATGATGATAATATTTTTGTTTTTATTTATTTTTAAAGATTTATTTGACAGAGTTACAAAGAGAGGTAGACACAGAGAGGAGAGAGGAGAGAGAGAGAGAGAGAGAGAGGTCTTCCATCCACTGGTTCACTCTCCAAATGGCTGCAATGGCTGGAGTAGCTAAGAGCCAGGAGCTTCTTCCAGGTCTCCCATGTGGGTACAGGGGCCCAATCACTTGGGCCATCTTCCACCACTTTCCCAGGCCATAGCAGAGAGCTGGATCAGAAGTGGAGCAGCCGGTACTCGAACCGGTGCCCACATGGGATGCCAGCGCTGCAGACCAGGGCTTTAACCCGCTGCACCACAGCGCCGGCCCTGATAAGGTTTTTTTGTTTGTTTTTGATAGCCTTTATGTTCTGTACATACATGCTAAAATATTTATGGATGGGAAATTAAATGATTGGCCATGAGTTAATTGTTGAAGCTAGGTGATGGGTGAGTTTGTTGGAATAATCTACTTCAGTATTTTTTTTTAATTTCCATTAAAAGCTTTTAAGGATTATTAAAGAAAGTGCCACCTCCTCCAAGGTATTAGAATTCTATCTCCACGGTAATCATTCCTAGGTGTGGTAGTCATTCCAGATCTTGCAAAACAGCTTGTTTTTTTTTTTTTTTTAATAGCCTTATTATCCTAAACTATGAAAATGTTTGAGTTTCATAAGTACCAACAAAGCTTTTGTCACATGAAATACAGCAAATCTTAAGTTTGGAAAAGTTAGCTATCATGTAATAGAGAAAACCATGGGGAAGTAACAGTGGTGGCTTCTGTATAATGATTTGAGAGGGACTTAGTTGCCCTTTTGTTGCAATAAACACTTATGTGTGTTTTCCTGTTACCTGCTAAGACTCTCTACCAACAGAGGCAGATGGGATTAGCCAGGGGGAATGAAGCATGGAGCACTTCGAGATAGAGCATCTTCAAGATCTGGCCTGCAAGCACTACTGAAGGGTGGACTGGAGCATCCTGTACCCACTAGGGGAGATGGCCTCGGATAATGGACCCTCGCTTTGTTTCCTGGTTTCATTCTGCATCTTTTCTGTCTTTACCCTACACACCCTGTGTTACCTCCCAGGAAAGTGGCCAGGTTTTATGCATGGCCAGGGCTTTAAGAAAAGTTTGTATCACTCCCAGAAGACATATGTAGCTCCCTTCATTTTCTGTAACTTCCAACTAAGGTTGTTAAAATATTCTTGCCATCATGCTTGAGCTGGGTGTGGGGGTAATAAACTCATCAACCACGTTTCATTTCTGTCTTTCATTTTTTAGGTTTGGATGCTTTGTTCCACTGCCAGTGTTAACAAGTAACAACTCTGGTCTTTGTCCTCACTGATCACACTTTTCTGTTTACCTGTGTTTCTTCCAGGCCTACTTACTATTAAATGTGTTGATTTTCCTTTGTCAAAGTAGCAGTTGGAGACAGGGTTTCAGCTTACTCAAGCATGTAGATAATAAAATGAAAAGGATGCCTTCTTATTGACTATTGCAACTCTATTGTTACAAGCTCTAGAATGCTGGAATGGCCACACAAGTCGTCTCCAAGACTGTCACTGCTGAAGCCTCAGACATCCTCATCATCACCTGGCGGCTGGGAAGCAGAGTCTGCCTGGTGACAGATGCTAACCTGCTGCCTTTGAAAGTTTTTTGTTAAATTAACCTCATTAATTAAATTCAGTTCACCTCATAAGTACACCTGCCCCTTCAAAATATAAAAACATGAATGGACTTGGTTCCATTAATTCCTAAACCATAGAAGTGGCAAAGTGGAGAAGAGAGAAACAGTTTTATTTTTGGCCTTTTTATTATTCTAGCAATCAGAGGCTTCCAATCTTATTTTTAGATGGTTATCTATTTGCTTTATATGTGAACCCAACCAATGAAAACCATTCTAAAACATCGATAATAAATTCCATGAGAAACAATGGTCCCTTTGTCTCCAATTCAGATCCTTTAGAGAGAAGGAAAAGCCTCTTTTCTGGACAAAAACTGACCCAATAGCAAAAAGATGAAAATCCAGTCTCTGTCAAGCTGGACAGGAGGTAGTGTCAGGTTTGTAAAACCAAACCTGGAACCTACTTCCATGGAACACCCTTTGACTAGAAAAAACCATCCCTCCTCCAACCTTATAATTCTGTTTTAAAAGGACATCTCTCCTAACTCCCACCTCAATAAATATCCAGTCAAAAGTATTCTCCACCGTTATTAAACTTTTCCACAAACTCTGTGGGGGAAGATTTACCCTGAGACAAACAGAGAACAGAGAGGGGATTTTGGAAAGAGATAAAAAGTACAAGGCAAAGTGGTCCCAGTGTTGGAAATGAGAACATTCTGCTGCCTGTGTGATTTCACCGATGAGGCAGGTGAAAGGTAACGTCAGGTGGGTATGAGGAAGAGGAGTTATTTGTGATGAGACTGGGACATGTTGAGACTCTTAGCTGTATGTCGCATGGACTTGTACTCTGAGAGAAAAGCAGGATGCAAGGCAGCCTTGAACTCTAGGGGAAATGGTGGGGTTGGGGATGCCCTGGAACCAACTGTGTCAGGATTGCTTGCTCCTCCTTTGCAGCCCTCCTGCTGATGCGGGGCCAAGGTCAGGCCTCTAGTATACTGAGGGAAAAACCAGCAGATACAGGAAAGCAGGAGCCGGCTCCCAGCCCATCATTTGGCCAGATCCTTAGTAGTCTTTACCGTGAGGCTGGAGGCCTGGGTTTCCTTTGTGTCCTCTGGTCATCCTCCCTGGCCCACCCTCACTCTATGCCCCTCACCCACCCTGAAGAACAGAGAGCTTTTCAGTTCTTTGCCACAAAGTAATTAAAAAGAGGTGGTTTCTTTGTTTAAACAGTTACTAAATTGGTTCATCTCCAATCTCCAGCCCCACCCTCCCCCCCATCAGTCCTGTATGATCACATCATCATCGTCATCGTTGTCCTCCTCATCTTCCTCCTCCTCCTCTTCCTCCCCATCTTCTGGCAATTCTTCCTCCTCTTCCTCTTCGTCTTCATCTAGACAAACTACAACCTCAGCTGGCTCAGGTAATCGAGAGTCAAACCAGTCCCGAACCTGCTGGGTGCTAAGCCTTGATGCCTGACTCAGTTGAGGGATATCACTTTCCCGCAGCTGTTGGTGGGCTGCCCAGTATCTCTCCAGGGGTCGGATATCCGGTGGGGGTGGGGGGATCGGCAGAGGTGGTGTCTCAGCCCATTCATTCAAAGAGCGGGTCGATGGTGGTGGTGTAGGATTGGCCGGGTCTTGGAAACTAGGGGCACCAGGTACTGCATTGTCCCGAAACCATTTTAGTTGCCCATGCTTCAAGGCATAGCGTGTGTCACCAAACCACTGAATGATCTCAGGACGAGGTAAACCAGTGATCTGTTCTAATTTATGGTAATCCTCACGTCGTGCCCATTGGCACTGTAAAAAAAAGGATTTGAGGATAGCCAGCTGCTCTTTGGTTTTGCGTTTAGTCTTTCGCTGGCGTTGCATATCTGGGGAGAGATACTCCATGGGGCCAACCCTACCTGGTACTGAGTTATGCCTTAGCCCTTGGGGCCAGGCTGCCTCCAGATGTGGGGGTAGTGCCTGTTCACTGGGTGACAGTGACTGTGGGACACAGCCCAGTGGCTGCAAGCGTTTAGAGGTGGCAGTGGCTCCATTAGCCAGTACCTGGTAAGAGGAAGAAGAGGTAGAGGAAGGAGGAGGAGTCACACTAGATGCTGACTCCTCCTTACAACTACTGGCGAGTAATGAGACCGGTGGGGGCTTATCTCTAGCACGCGGCTGGTGGACACCTGTGGAGTGGTTCCAGGAAGCAGTGCCTACAGCACGTGACTGCTCAGGACCCCCACCTGCCTGCTCCTTACAGAGGCTACTGCTTTGAAGATCCTGCCAAAAATCAGATTGATGGGGGAATGCTCCACTGGCAGGTGTCAGCAAGGGCTCCTTTGCTTTCTGGTGACTTAGTGGCAATGGTGGTATCTGAGAGGACTCCTCAGGCTCGACCTTCAGTCCTTTCACCTGAGTGGGCGCGCTGGGAGTCAGAGGACCTATTCCAAGACCGACTTGTTCCGGGTGTGGCATTGGAGAAGGAGGCACCTCCTCTGGGGGCCGCCCTGCGTGATGAGTGAAAGAGAGAAGGGATTTGAAATGAAGTTGGTCCCGGTGATAGACCACGCGGGCCCGAGTCTCTTCTATTTCTTCAGAGGACCAGCTAATGCCACAGCGCAGGCGCTGGGCCATGAACCAGGTCTTGACCTTCTCCATCTGCAGCCCGTAACGTAGGCAGAGAAGGGCAATGTCTGCTAGACTGGGGTAGGGAAAGTAGCTGAAGGTTTGCAGCAGGTGTTCATTGCTGTCCAGCTCACTGGTCTGGGCTGCTTGGGTCCATACGAGCTGTAGCTCCTCAGAGATCGGAGGGAGGCAGATGAGACCCGCCGGTGAGCCGTTAAGACTGCTGGCCTCCTTATTAGGAGGCATGGTGCTTTCTGATGTATGCCCTTCAGAGAAAGCTGTAATAGGAAGAGAAACAGCTCAGTCACTGGGGCTCCTTTACTGGGACACGGGGCTCAATTTCTTCCAAACCACTGGACACCAAACTTTCTGTTTGTATCATGAGTTGCTTTTAAAGCGCTGCAACAAGTTCTCATTTAATTTCCACAACCTTGCAGTCATCAGGGCCTGCTATGATTTATTTCCATTTTCCAAGAAAACTGAACTCCATAGAAGTGAAACCACCTCAAGTCACATGACTAGCGAGTATTGTCACCAAAATGAACATCTGTCTTTAGAGGTTAAGAAGGAAGTCTAGGGGCCAGCACTGTGGTGTAGCGGGTAAAGCCGCCTGCCATCCCATATGGGCACCGGTTTGAGTCCCAGCTGCTCCACTTCTGTTCCAGCTCTCTGCTGTGGCCTGGGAAAGCAGTAGAAGATGGCCCAAGGACTCCCTGCACCTGCATGGGAGACTCGGAAGAAGCTCCTGGCTCCTGGCTTCAGATCTGGACAGCTCTGGCCATTGTGGCCACCTGGGGAGTGAACCAGAGGATGGAAGACCTCCCCCCATCCCCAGCCCCTGCCTCTCAAATAAATAAAATATCTTAAAAAAAAATTTCATGGCCATATTACCCTGAGCATACCTGATCTTGTCTGATCTTGGAAGCTAAGCAGGGTCAGGCCTAGTTAGTACTAGCATGGGAGACTGCCTGGGAATACGGGGTGCTGTAGGGTTATTTTAAAAAAAAAAGAAGGGGCCAGCGCTGTGGCAGCCATTGGAGGGTGAACCAACGGCAAAGGAAGACCTTTCTCTCTGTCTCTCTCACTGTCCACTCTGCCTGTCAAAAAAAAGAAAAAGAAAAAAAAAAGAAAAAAGAAAAAGAAAGAAAGGGGATGTTTTGGCCGGCGCTGTGGCTCACTAGGCCAATCCTCCTCCGCTTGCGGCGCCGGTACTCTGGGTTCTAGTCCCGGTTGGGGCACCGGTTCTGTACCGTTTGCCCCTCTTCCAGGCCAGCTCTCTGCTGTGGCCCAGGAGTGCAGTGGAGGATGGCCCAAGTGCTTGGACCCTGCACCCGCATGGGAGACCAGGAGGAAGCAGGAAGCACCTGGCTCCTGGCTTCGGATCGGCGCAGCACGCTGGCCATGGAGGCCATTTGGGGGGTGAACCAATGGAAGGAGACCTTTCTCTCTGTCTCTCTCTCTCTCTCTAACTGCCTGTCAAAAAAAAAAAATAAAAAAGAAAATGCACTCTATTAGAGCCTTTAAAATATTTTTTCTGTTACATTTTTATTAATTACTTGAGAGGCAAAGAGACAGAAAGAGAGCTTCCTTCCACTGATTTATTCCTCAAAGGCTAAGGCTGTGCTAGGTTGAAGCCAGGGGTCAGAAATTCAATCCAGGTTTCCCATGTGTGTGGCAGGAACCCAAGAACTTGAGCACCTGCTGCCTCCCAGGGTGCAGGAAGTTGGAATCGGGAGCAGAGCTGGGATTCAAACCCAGGCACTCTGTTTTGGGGTGTGGGGTGCCCCAAGCCATGACTTGACTGCTAGGCCAGATAATGGCCCCTAGAGCCTTTATCTTTCTAATTGGAACTCTGGAAGCAGTCTCCCACTGTCATGCAGCAAGAGTCACAAACGAAGAGAGAGGAGTAGGATCTCCAAACCGGCCCTAACTCCTTAGCTCCTAAAAATGTATGATCATCTCTAGAATGCGGAGAGCGAGCTGGGAATCCACTGATGGTTCTCTAGAGGTAGGACAGCACTGTCTTCTGCCCAGCCCCCCTCTCTGCTTCCCCTTCTTGGCATAGGGCTGTTGCAAGGAGAGGAATGACAGGCCTTTAGGACCCAAGCCCACACCAATGGCTTGCTTTCTTTCCATCCTGCCGTAGGATAAGAGATAGAGGTCGGAGATTTGGCATAAACGGGGCTCACTCCCCTTGGCTCAGGTCTTGCAGAGAGAGAATGTTTTCCTCCCCCAAGTCAGCCAGGGAACAAAGGTTATCCCCTCCCCCAGCCTTTGTCTCTTCCAGTAGCTCAGCCTCCCTCCAGGGAGCCGGGAGAGCTCCCTCAGACACTAACAGCCCCCCTCCACACAGGGCCAAGGCTTCCTGCTCTTATCTTTTCAGTCCAGCTTTCTCCTCCAGACCAGGAGGCCAGGCTCATTAGAAATTGTAACCAGCTCCCGCAAGCTCTCCACAGCAGCACTGTGGGGAGAGCCCCTGACTGTGCGGCTTTTTCTGAAATACCTCTCAAGTTATTTCCAGACTATTCCTGTTGACAAATTTAACTCAGTTCCCTCTGCAGGCATGAGAGACCCTTTACGCGTGTTACCCTTTACCTTAGGGGAATCCCGTCTGTTGTTTATAAACAACCTGATCTGTAAAGGACAGGGCAGGATTCCTATTTGTAAATGCTACATGATGAACTGAGGAAATCTTCAAATCCATAAACTTAAAATCGTGTGACATCAGGGATTCCATATGATGCTTTAAAAAACTCAGAAGCGTTATAACGATTGTGACCATTTCCTTGTAACAAGCAGCTCTAACAAACAGAAGGTCATACAAATCCTATCAGCAATAGAGCCTGAAGAGTGCCCTAAGAAGGTACATACAGGCAGCATGGCATGGTAGGCAGAAATATGAATTCAGACCTGTTAGTTTGAATCTCAATCAAGCCTCTTACCAGCTCTGTGATCTTGAGGAAAAGCTATAGAACTTAATGAAACTGTTTCCTTGTATGTCAAAAATGGAGACCGTGTGTATCAACAGTTACATATTCTTACAGACCACCTACTATGTGTGAGGTGTTTCCCCAAGCAGTTGGTGGAGATGAAAGTCTGGGGTGGGGCAGATTTGAGATAAACTGTAGCTGTGCCACTTTGTACAGTGCTACTTGTTCTTGGGCAAGTTATTGAACCTCTCTAAGCCTTAGTTTCTCATCAGAAAAAAAAGCATCTACCTGGTAAGTTTATGACTAAATGAAAAATGCACTTGACACTATGCCTAGAACAAAGTAAAGGCTCAGTAAAGCTTTGGTCATCACTTGAGGGCTTCATGGGATGCACCTGTATAAGGTAGTTCTGGAAGGTGCGGGGAAAGACCAAATCCTGGGGCTGGCACTCGGCACAGCAGTTAAGATACCAGCTGGGATGCCCCATCCCATGTCGGAGTGATTGGGTTTGAGTCCCAGCTCCGCTTCCAATTCTCTAGCTTTCTGCTAATGTGCACCCTGGGAGGCAGCAGGTGATGGTTCAAGTATTGGGTCCCCACCACCCATGTGGGAACCCAGATTCAGTTCCCTGTTCCTGGCTTTAGCCTGGCCTAGCCTCTAACTATTGCACACATTTGGGGGAATGAACCAGTGGATGGAAGATCTGTCTTTGTCTCTCTGCCATTCAAATAAAAAACAAAATAAGAAAAAAATGTTTAAAGAGAATCCTTTAAAATGATTTTGGAAGGCAGACATTTAGCCTAGTGGTTAAGACACCCACATCCCCTATCATCAGAGTACCTGGGTTCAAGACTCCAGCTTCCTGCGAGTGCAGATCTGCGGGGACAGTGGCAATAGCTCTAGTAATTAGGTTCTTGCCACCCACATGGGAGACCAGGATTGAGTTTCCAGCTCCCTGCTTTGGTCTGGCCCAGTCCTGGCCTTTGCAGGCATTTGGGGAGTGAACCAGCAGATGTGAAAAACTTCTCTGTCTCAAATTAAAACAATTAGGGCAGGGGGCTGTGCTGCCACCTGAAATGCAAACATCCCATGTGAGCCACAGTTGGGAGTCCCAGTTGCTCCACGCTAATGCACCTGGGAAGGCAGAGGAAGATGACCCAACTTTTTGGGTCCCTGTCGTCCATGTGGGACATCCAGATGGAGTTACCAGGCTCCTGGCTTCAGCCTGGCTCAGCCTCAGCTGTTGTGGCCATCTGGGGAGTGAACCAGCAGGTGTAAGATCTGTCTCTCCCTCTTTCTGTAACTCTGCCTTTCAAATAAGTAAATATAAAAAAATAATTAAAAGAAGATCATGAGTGGATACAGCTGGTTAAGCTGCCACTGGAGACTCCTGCATTCCGTATCAAGTCGTAGCTACTCCACGCTTCCCCAGGAGTCCCTGACCCCCTGCGTCAGCCTGACCTAGCCCCAGCTGTTACAGACATTTACAGACGGAACATATCTCTCTTCCTTCCCCTTTCTCATTGTCATTCTGCATTTCAAATTTATCTTAAAGAACAAATCCTGATTTTCAATGTTCTTACAGAGCCCCAATTCTAGCTAGCAGTGGAGAAAACCTGGGTATTTGTGACTTTAACAGGTTTTATAATTTGGGGTTTGGATGTAATTTCAGGGTGCACTTTGCTGCTTTATGAAAGTACGAAAACCACTACTTTCAGAGAATTGCATCCACGATTAGATCCTTTTTGATTGCGGTGGGAACTGCCAACGTGATAAGGCTCCCTTTCTCTTCAGTGCCAGCCAGGCTCACTGTGGACACAGCAACACTGTTTCCATGGCCCTGTACTAACCACCATTTAGAAATAGTGGCCCACCAGGACCACCACCAGATCCAAGCTGGAGAACATGATGGCAACGCCTGACATCCGCTTAACCTTATTTGTGTTCTGCTCTGAAAAACACTGTAACATTTCAGATTGTGGAAAACGTAGCCTAAGGAATACAGCGGTCCAGTAGGAGGTTAAAGACTGCCGGATGGGAATGGGAGACAGATACAGTGCTAAGCTTCAGAGGAAACATTTTGCTTTATTCATGTGGTTTGGCAGCCTTCAGATTCTCAGCCTCAGCTTGAGATTTCAGTGTCATGTGCAGCAATGCAAATAACATATTTGCTGGACTGTGTACATCGAGTTTTCACTTACACGAAGCCCACGTTAGGGCAGACTCCCTGAAACACAGTGGTAGGGGATGGCTGGTACTTCCCTGGAAGTGGCTCTTGAGAATTATAAGTAGGGCAGACCCTGCAGTAAATCAAAACCACAGTGAAGACACTGCAGTGTTTTGTGGAAAGCTGAAGAAGGATGGACGCCTAGGGCAGGGTGGTGGCGCTGAGTATCCTGAATAATAATTAAGTTTGTATCTTAAAAAAAAAAAGATTTATTTATTTGAAAGGCAGAGCAACAAGGAGAAAGAAAGGGAGCGCAGAGAGACATTCTGCAGCTGCTGATTCACTCCCTAAATGGCTGTTAACAGCCAGGTCTGGGCCAGGCCAAAGCCAGAAGCCAGGAACTCCATCCTGCTCTCCCATATTGTGGCAGGGGCCCAAGTAGCTGGGCCATCTTTCGCTGCTTTCCCAGGCACGTTATCGGGAAACTGGATCTGAAGAACAGCCGGGACCTGAACTGGTGCTCCCATACAGGATGCTGACCTTATAAGCAGCAGCTTAACCCGCCGTGCTACAACGCTGGCCCCAAGTTCATATCTTTATGAAATATGCCAAATACACCCTACTGCTACCCCAAGTCACTAATAAAAAATTTAGTCAGTCGGAACATAACATCTTCCCCCTTGGACTTTCTGTATCCCGACAGGTGGCAGGAAAACGGGCTGTCTTAAAATTCGTTTCCGTGTTCACACAATCCTGGGAAAAAGGGGACTGTAAGCTTTCAGCTTGAGCGTAGGCTTATGGCTAAGGAGGAGATGGCTGAAGTTGGAGACTAGATATGATCCTGCTCAAGTCCCTAAATCTTTTTTTTTTTTTTTACAGGCAGAGTGGACAGTGAGAGAGAGAGACAGAGAGAAAAGTCTTCCTTTGCCATTGGTTCACCCTCCAATGGCTGCCGTGGCCGGCATGCTGCGGCCGGTGCTGATCCGATGGCAGGAGCCAGGTGCTTCTCCTGGTCTCCCATGGGGTGCAGGGCCCAAGTACTTGGGCCATCCTCCACTGCCCTCCCTGGCCACAGCAGAGAGCTGGCCTGGAAGAGGGGCAACTGGGACAGAATCCGGCACCCCGACCGGGACTAGAACCTGGTGTGCCGGCGCCACAAGGTGGAGGATTAGCCTAGTGAGCCATGTCCTAAAGATTGGAAGGACTACCTGAGAGGTGTTTGGGTGAGACAGATGGAATGGCTTTAAGGACTCTTTGTGACAATTAGCTTATATATGTCTTAATTTTTGGATCGTGAACCTCAGAGTCAGGTAAGTTACGGGCCCCCAAAGTTGTGATTACCCCTCTGATTTCTAAGGAGTCAAATTAAGAAGCTCTGTCTCCTGTCCTCCCAACTGGGCCAGGAATCTGGCTCACCTGACCTGCAGGTGGGTTACCCATCAATACCCACAGTGCAGTGCCATAACCGTCTGCTTCACGCCGTTGTCCTGTGCGCTTGGGCCAGTACTGTGATTCCGAAACTGCTTATGCCCATGGTTTTTCTGTATAATGATGCAATTTAACATGACACAAATCTATGAAAAATACTGCACTGAAAATTGTTCCCATGAAAACAGATGCCCTGGAGAGACATGATACAAAGGGGAGCATACATTTCTAAAACTGCTGAATTGGTGGCATTGGTCAAGACAGCAGTAAAAGTGTGGGAAATGGGACTTCAAAAGTCTCAAAAGGATTCTGCACTCAGATTGCTTCCAACCTGTCTGAACTCTCACTTCACTTTACGGAAACCAAAACTGGAAATCATAGATGATGAAAGTGTCTGAGCGACTCCTCTCAGACTGCACACGCATTGCCTGGGAACTGAAAAACCAGGCCAGCCTCTTTCCCAGCCGGGTTTAATTAGTCTGGACAGGGGCCCAAGCATCCCTAGTTTTTAAGTTTGCAAGGTGCAGCCGGGTTTGAGAATGGTAACTTAGAAATGTCAATCACCAGACTTTCACACACACACAGTCTCAGCACTACACCAAAAGATTGGTGAAATGAATGTACTTTTTAATTATGTTTCAGTTATGTATGCATCATTTTTAAAACCCCCAACTCTGGCTTTCTCAATTATTGCTCTCTACCTATCCTAATCATAGACGATTTAAAAAAAAAAAAAAAAAAAAAAAAGCTCTCCCGGTCTGATCTGGGCCCACGTTACCAAATAGGTCTCAGCTTGAATTTTCTTTCAGTTTATTCGTCCCCGACTAGGACACAACACCAGAAACCTCCGTGGAGTCTGGTGCTTGGTTTCCTGGTTGGTTTTCCGACTACCGCTGGGTACGAGAGTCAAAACCTTTCATTCCCACAGGCCACTGCTCCCCCAAAGTGCCGCCAGGTTCTGTGCGTGTGGGAGGTCGCCAGGAGGTAGTCATGGGGATGGGGGGGGGGGGGGCCTGGGAAGGAAACGTGCCTCCTAGCCTCCATTTCACAGGCAGTCTAGAAGGCTCCAAACTGGGTCAGAGAACAAAAAGTTGCTGCACTTGGGGCGATGAGCCCCAGGAGGCAGGCGAATCTAAATCCTCCCCTCGCCAAGGACGTCCCAACCCAGCCTTCCCCTCCTCCCTACACACCCCCCTCACCCTCCCTCAGTTACAACAGGGAAAAGTCCAGAGGAGAAAGGAGAGAGAACCGGGCGACTTCCAATCCAGAATTCGCCCTCCCCCAGCGCGGGCACGGGGCTCTGGAGGTCGGAGATAGCACACGGGCTGGGAGGGGAAGTCCAAGGGGCTGGGGATCACTCACCGAGGTCCGGCCCGGGCGGCGGCTCCCAGCCTCGCACCATGGGCCGGGGGTAAGGGGGGAAAGAGGGCAGGGGGGCTCCGGGTGGGAGTGGGGTAGCTGCCCGGTGCGGCCTGCTCCGAGCCCACCCGCGCGGACGGCCGGGACCCGGACGGCATGCCCCCCGCCCCTGAGAGCGCGCCCGTCTAGCCCACCCCAGCTCCAGCGAGTTGGATGCGGGGGGGACGGGTGGGGCGGGCGTCCAGGGCCTGTGCCAAGGTGGCCCGAGTCCTGATTGGTGGACGCAGGAAGGCGGGCCCTGGCGGAAGGCACTAGACCATCCATTGGCTGCGTCTGTCTCGGCCCAAATCGGCTATTGGCTACGTGGGCCTCGGCAGGGGTCAGCTATTGGGTGTGTGGGGCAGGAACGATGTCCCCCGAGGCCAGGGTGCCGCGAATGGTACCTCCCCGTACCCTCGACCTATTGGCGCCGGACCTTCCGAGTACCCCGAGCCATGTTTCTCCCGAAATCCCCCAAGGAGAGGCGCAGCACTTTGCTGAACTGTCGGGACCGCCAACAACTCCGCATTAGTCGCCTCCTGGAGGAAGCCCTCCTGCAAGACCTTGTCAGCGTCCGCTCTCTGGCCTTCCACTCGCCCGGCCGCCGCCGCGCTCGCCGTGACGAAGCGCCTGCAGCGACCGGGCGCTTGTCGAGGTGCACCAGCTGTCTTGCCACCCGGAAAGACGAGGGCCTTCGACTGGTGTTCGCAAAGACGACCTGCCGGGGCGGGCACCTGCCGGGTGCCTCGCAGAGCCTCAGGCTCCCCTCCCCGCCCTGGTAATGGGGACGCAGAGCTCTGCCTCCTCTCTCGGGGATCCCGGTGTTCGCTGTCAAGAAAGAGATGAAGATAAAGCGAACTTTGCTGGGATGCCTGTCCTGCACCGCCGGAAGTTCACGGCCAAAATGTGTGTTTAGAATTCTCCGTCTTCTAAAACTTGAGAATACTTCCCGAAGTGACTCTTGTATATATATTTTTAAGTCTCTTTTTGACTTCTTAGGTCACTTAATTAACAGCTTCTACGTGATGACAGTTTGTAATAACTTCAGACTTGTATTCTCACACCTCACCTCTCCACCTCCCTGCATCCCAAGAAACCAACCACCTGACTCCTCCGTTCCTTCTTCCTTGCTGCACCCTGAGGTCTAGATTCTTTCAGGGTTGCCAGACATCAGAAACACCCCTCCTTCAGTGCTGAGCCCTGTTGGATGCGTCTGGCCCTGCCGCCTTCCCCTCGTTACATTTGCTATTGACCTCAACTTTTTTTTTTCTTTTGACAGGCAGAGTGGACAGTGAGATAGAGAGAGAGACAGAGAGAAAGGTCTTCCTTTTCCGTTGGTTCACCCTTCAATGGCCGCTGCAGCCAGCGCGCTGCAGCCGGCGCACCGCACTGATCCGAAGCCAGGAACCAGGAGCCAGGTGCTTCTCCTGGTCTCCCATGCGGGTGCAGGGCCCAAGGACTTGGACCATCCTCCACCGCACTCCCGGGCCACAGCAGAGAGCTGGACTGGAAAAGGAGCAACCGGGACAGAACCGGCACCCCGACCGGGACTAGAACCCGGGGTGCTGTCGCCGCAGGCAGAGGATTAGCCTAGTGAGTCGCGGTGCCCGCCACGACCTCAAATTTTAAGAGCCAGTCCCGCGCCCTTCAAACTAACGCCCAGCAAAAACATGATAGCGGTTAGGGTTAGGGCTAGGGTTAGGGTTAGGGTTAGGGTTAGGGTTAGGGTTAGGGTTAGGGTTAGGGTTAGGGCTAGGGTTAGAAGCGTTTCATGCCTCAGGCTGTGAGCCAGGCTGTTGGTGTGGACAGAGCTTGTCCACAGTCGGGACCGCGGCAGTGCCGAACTGGAGTGTGTCTGCAATGAGAGGGGGAAGAGTGGGATATTTCAGGTGTGGGCAGCCCTCAGCGACCAGTGCAGGGGTCATTCCCTCACAACTTAAGGAGACTGGATTGACTGGGATAAATCCGAGCTTGTTTGGCTGGAAGGGAGGCCAGGCAGGAGCTGTCTGTGGGAACTAAGCCCATGAACCTGTGGTTTGCTAAGTCACTCTGGGCAGTGCTGATCCTGGGCTTGGAATTACAAAAGGTGGGTGACTCCATCACCTCTCTTTCTGAGGACACTCGCTCCCAACAGTCAGGGGTGGGGGTAGCATTCAAGTTTATGGGGGGGTACTCCAAGGAGGATAGAAGAAACTCCCCTGCCTTAGTTCTAAAGTACAGGCTGAACCCTCTATGCGAGTTGAACTCTATGTAGGTCTAGACGGGTGGAGAATGTCTGGCCCACAGGCCATGTACGGCCCTCAACATCATTTGGTCAGGCCCCACCAAGGCAATCGCAGTAGAGACTGGAAATTCAAACTGATAGCAGGCTAATTTTTTTTTTTTTTTGACAGGCAGAGTGGACAGTGAGAGAGAGAGACAGAGAGAAAGGTCTTCCTTTTTGCCATTGGTTCACCCTCCAATGGCCGCCATGGCCGGCGCGCTGCGGCCGGCGCACCGCGCTGATCTGATGGCAGGAGCCAGGTGCTTATCCTGGTCTCCCATGGGGTGCAGGGCCCAAGCACTTGGGCCATTCTCCACTGCACTCCCTGGCCACAGCAGAGAACTGGCCTGGAAGAGGGGCAACTGGGACAGAATCCGGCGCGCCGACAGGGACTAGAACCCGGTGTGCCGGCGCCGCAAGGCGGAGGATTAGCCTAGTGAGCCGCGACGCCGGCCCGCAGGCTAATTTTTAAGTTGGTACTTTTGCATGGCCCACAAATGATGTGTGTGTGTGTGTGTATATATATATATATATATATATATCTCCAAATGGCTCTTGGCAGAAAAAAAAGGTCCTTCACCACTGGTGAATGTGGAGTGGACTGGGGTGGGCCGGGGTGAAGGGGAGAAGCCTCGGCTGATGGTGAGAGTCCCATGTTTTGCAGGACAGTCCCCTGCCAGCCCTTCCAGGGACTAACGCTGGAGAATGTGATGCCTGTCATCTGCCCTTTGCACGGCTCAGACATTAGCAGTGCTGACCAGAGGCACGCTCGCCCTACAGCTGGAGGCCCTGCAGGTGCAGCGTCCTCCCTGTCACAGACCTTCACCACTGGAGGAGCTGCAGCAACACGCCAACATCGTCACAGGTTTTTCTAAAACTTGGGAAAAAAAAAAAAACACCCCAAACTGGAATTGACTGGTATCTCCTTCTTGACTTGACCTCTGTCACATGTCCCTTTCTCAGGTGTCCACAGAGAGGTGATGGGCACTTGGAGACTGGCTGAGGGAGCTGAGGAGGGATCACGTGTACTGTGGGGTTAGTAGGTATACTTGATGGGTTTTGCAGTTACTTCTGTGAATAGAATCAATTATCCCCAGGTGGATACAGTGTTATGGATTAAACTGTGTCCTCCCAAACTTAGGGTTAACGTCCTGTCCCCCCACACGTAGCTTCGTGTGGAGTTAGGTTGTTTCTCGAGGTGATTAAGTTCAGCTGAGATGGATGAATTAGGGTGGGTCCTAACACAGTGTGACTGCTGACCTTCCACGAGAAAATCTGGGCACAGACTTGTGATGCACAGGCAGAGGGAAGACCATGAGCAGACAGCCTTCTACAATCAAGGACAGAAGCCTCAGGATGCAGTCAGCTCAGCCAGTGCCCTTGTCTTGGACCTCTAGTCTCCAGGACTGAGAAAACAAATTTAGCACACACCCAGTCTCTGCTATTTTTGTATGGCAGCCCTGAAAAATTAAATTACTTATATGTTTTAAAAATGTGTATTTACTGCCATTTTATTTGAAAGTCAGAAAGAGAGATCTTCCCTCTGCTGGAACACTCCTGAAATGCCTCAATAGCCAGCACTGGGCTAGGCCAAAGCCGGGAGCCCAGAACTCAATCTAGGCTGGCAGGCAACCAAGGACTTGAGCCATCACCCGCTGCCTCCTAGTGTGTGCATTAGCAGGAAGCTGGATCAGGAATGGAGGAGCCTAGAGGAGCTGGGACTCCAAACAAGCACTCTGATGCGAGACGGGAGTGTCTCGGCTGCTGACTTAACTTCTGAGCCAAATGCCTGCCTGTATGTTTATTTCCATTTTTTATTTGAAAGGCAGAGATCAAGCTGAGACCAGGAGCACAGAACTCAATCCAGGTTTCCCATGTGGGTGGCAAGGATCCAAGCACCTAAACCACCACTGCTGCTACCCAGAGTGTGCATCAGTGAGAAGTTGTATTGGAAGCAGAGTCAGGACTTGAACCAAGCACTCCCATACAAGTTGCAGGTGCCCCAAGCAGCAACCTAAGCACTGTGCTACAAATGTGCCTGCCCCCAAACTAATATTTATAGTTCCCATTATTCTTTTTTTTTTTTTTTTTTTGACAGGCAGAGTGGACAGTGAGAGAGAGAGACAGAAAGAAAGGTCTTCCTTTTGCCGTTGGTTCACCCTCCAGTGGCCGCTGCGGCCGGCGCACCATGCTGATCCAAAGCCAGGAGCCAGGTGCTGGTCTCCCATGGGGTGCAGGGCCCAAGCACTTGGGCCATCCTCCATTGCACTCCGTGGCCACAGCAGAGAGCTGGCCTGGCAGAGGGGCAACCGGGACAGAATCCGGCGCCCTGACCAGGACTAGAACCCAGTGTGCCGGTGCCACAGGCGGAGGATTAGCCTAGTGAGCCGCGGCGCCGGCTAGTTCCCATTATTCTTGATACTATCAATTCAGAATATACGACATTAGCCATTACAAATTCGAAAAGCTCCAAAATTTTATAGTGGTTTTACCAAGTTTGACAAAAATTCTAAACATTTATGAAAGTATCACAAGGCATGGGGGCAAAATTTTTTTAAATTAACAATACAAAAGTGATCATGTTAGAAGACTCATAGAAAACATACAATCATTATACGAAAAGGCTATCAAAGGCTGTTGGCAAAAAAAGTGGAAATATGAATAATTTTAGGCAGATATTTGGCAGCTTTTTAAAAAATTGTAATTTGTCATTCTGAAAATATCATAATTTTGTATTTAATTTTCTTAAAGGGGCTCCAAAAGTTGCATACTTCAGGTACCCAGAAGCCTGGCTCCAGCCTAGGACTACCAGATGGCCATGGTGAGTCTCTGCCTCCTTAGGGGAACTCTGCTCCAGTGCTCGTGCCCTGTCTCCTAGAAAGACCAGAGCCGCAGGCAGTGAGGCGGCCGACTACTCAGACCTGCGAGTACTGAGGCTTGGAGACAGAGTTGGGAGAGCGAAAGTTAACGCGGAAGGAGTTTGTGGCAGGAGGAGCTCAAACCTACCCCAGAAGACGTGAGGAGTCTGTGCAGGGCTTGGGGCTCCGACTCCAGGCAGGAAGCCGTGGAGAGAAGCCCTGGAAAGCCCCGCCTTACCTCTCCGTGGGTGTTTGCTCCTCATGCTGACCCTGCCCTTCAGCACTCTTAGAGCACACTGAAGAGCGGTGGGCTGGGCAGCGATGACGTCACAGGTCGGCCTTTGTGATGTAAGGAGGAGCTATCAGGCATTCCGTGCTTGGGGCTTGCCTCTTAGGAATGCTGTCACCTCATTACTTTGTGGTAATTGGTTCTCTCATCACTCAGGTGATGTGGGAGCCAATCCTGTGAGAACTTGCTCTTTCAAGGACTCCCTCTGTTATCTATTTCTATCCCTCCATTCTGGATTCCACAGAGGTCTTGCCTTCCTTTCCCCTCCGTTAGCTGTCTTACCCTTTGTTTTAGGGTAACCCCTTATTAGGGAAGGGCATTGTTCTTCCCTCCACTACTCAAGAGCAGAAAGTAACGAGATGACCCCCTAAAAGAGGAAGAATCCCCTGTGAAAAGCAGAAACAGTTTTCCCAGACTGTTCCTTTAACAACACCAACAGCTGGTGCTGGGTGCCAGGGAACTGAAGAGCCAGGCCCTGACTATGCTCCCACTACCCAAAAGGGTGGAGGGATCCTGTTGTGGTGTCTTAAACCATGGCTGCCCATCTCTCCCGTGGTCTTCTTCCATGCAACTTCCAAACAGCCAGAGGACCCCAGCAGAAAAGGAATAGGACTTTTTAAGATTTATTTATTTGAAAAGCAGAGTTACACAGAGAAGAGAAAAAAAAGAGAGAGAGATCTTCCATCTGCTGGTTCACTCTCCAAATGGCTTCAATGGCCTGGGCTGGCCCAGACTAGACAGGAATCTGGAACTCCATCCAAGTCTTCCATGGGGGTGGCACAGACCCAAACATTTGGGCCATCTTTGGCTGCTTTCCCAGGTGTATTAGCAGGGACCTGGATTAGAAGTGGAGTAGGCGGGACTCAGACTGGTGCTCATAGGGGATGATGGCATCACAGGCAGTAGATTAACCTGCTGCGATATGCCAGCAGCCCCGGAGCAGGACTTTTAGGAAATGACCAGGCTAGCATTTGTCTTAGTGGTCGACGCTGCTTGGGACGACCACATCCCATACTGGAGTGCTAGGTTCAGGTCCTGGCTTTGCTCCAGATTCCAGCTAATGAGCACTGTGGGAAACAGCAGTGGATGGCTCAAGTAGCTAGGTCCTCACCCTCCATGTGGGAGACCTGGATTAGGTTCTCAGTTCCTGGCTTCAGCCTGGGCCAACCTTGGCTATTGTGGAGATTTGAGGAGTGAACCAATGGACAGGAGCTGTCTCTCAAGGAAGGAAGGAAGGAAGGAAGGAAGGAAGGAAGGAAGGAAGGAAGGAAGGAAAGAAAGAAGGAAAGAAGGAAAGAGAGAGAGAGAGAAAGAAAGAGAAAGAGAAAGAAAGAGAGAGAGAAGGAAAGAGAGAGAGAAGGAAAGAAGGAAAGAAAGAGAAAGAGAAAGAAGGAAAGAAAGAAAGAGAGAGAAAGAGAGAGAAAGAGAGAGAGAGAGAAGGAAAGAAGGAAAGAAAGAGAAAGAGAGAAAGAAAGAAGGAAAGAAAGAAAGAGAGAGAAAGAGAGAGAAAGAGAAAGAGAGAGAAGGAAAGAGAGAGAAGGAAAGAAGGAAAGGAAAGAGAGAAAGAAGGAAAGAAAGAGAGAAAGAGAGAGAGAGAGAAAGAGAGAGAGAGAGAGAAAGAGAGAAAGAAAGAGAAAAAGAAAGAAAGAGAGAGAGAGAAAGAGGAGTGAGGGTTTAGGAAGGGAATCTTGCATCTAGACTTCTTGCCACCCTCAGCCCCAAACAAAGAATACTTCTGAGTGTTTTATGATGTACTTTGTTTTCATATTTCAACTTTATTTCAAATATAAGGTTGAATATCCAGAAGGGAGGGCAGCTGCATGAGGAAGCTCAAGTGACACACAATAGTAGCAGTGGTCTGGGGCCCAGGGCACAGCGCTGCCCTGTGAAGGAGCTGGGGAGGCTCTGGAAGCACCTGGTGAGAAGTGGTTTTCCATGGTTCACGCAGCGCTTCCCGGGGCAGCTACTCAGTGGGTGGGCTGCTCAGTCTTTTTAGCAAGGCCATTGCTCTTCAGCAGCATCTCCAGTAGTGCCAAGACTGGAATCACAGAGAAAAATGTCAGTTCCCTTTGCTTTTCTTTATGTATGTAGGAGGAAGCAATGGAAACTAGTAGCAGGAAATGACATACGTCTGATGTTATCCTTTGTCATGAGAAGGCTTGAGCCCGACTGTACAGGGACCGCTCAGCCTGGGGATGGATGTGATCAGGAAGCCTGGGTTTGAGCCCATCTTGAGCTGCACTAAAATGTTTTGATGCTGCTGGAGTCGCTTCTCACCCCTGCACCTGTGTCTTCACTCTGCACCAGAGCCTGGCCCAGGTAATTCCTAATGACAAGCCTTTCCCGGTCTCTGACTCCATGCCATGCAAACTGTGAGGGTCCAGAGGATCTCCAGAGAAACCCAGGAATTAGAAGGCACTGAAGTCCAGATTGGAAAACTGAGCATTCGGGGTTGTAACGAAGAGAAACGATGTGCTACATTCATAAACGGGAAGAGGCAGAGGAGGCAGGCTATAGGACAGGAAGGAATAGGAAGACATCTGGGGCCTGGATGGGAGCAAAGGGTGACCATGTTCCTGCTGGGTTGCCTCAAGGAGCCCAGTCCTTGCCCATGGTAACGCTTTCTCTTATGGCACTTTCCAGACCACGGCCAACATGTTATACCCAAAATTGCTCACGTTTATAGTCACCGGCCTTTAGAGGAAGGTCTCCACCATGATGCCTAATGCATAACGATAACACTTAACAGGATCTCTACACCTCTAGCATTTCCCGTGTCAGGTCAGGCCGAACCAGCTGGGAGAAACCACTGGCTGCGCCTGTCTACAGGCTCTCTGCTTTGCCTACTGAGGCTGTAACGTGGGGAAGTTGTGGAAACAGCAGTGCAGGAAGGGCAAGGTGAACTGCCTCATCTTGGTCGACGTGCAGATGCTGGGGTTTGGGACCCGGCTGTACCAGTTCAACCCAAGGTGAGCAAAAGCCCGGGGCTTGGAGACATCTCGGTGTTCATGTCCTGGAAAAGGAGGGCACACCGATGGCATCTGGGTAGGAGTCCCTCCAGGAAATCGCAAACAGAAAATGCTCAAGAAATACTAGTTTCATCCCACTCTTGCAAGGCTTGGTGGTACTGACAGTTGGGTAAGTCCCAGTTTCAAAAAGGGAGGCACCCATGATTTGTAGTAAGAACGCAGCTCGTGGGCCAACTACGGGGGAAACTCCCAGCTTATCCCCACATCCTGCGGCAGCTCCTTTTTTTTTTTTTTTTTACAGGCAGAGTGGACAGTGAGAGAGAGAAACAGAGAGAAAGGTCTTCCTTTTGCCATTGGTTCACCCTCCAATGGCCGCCACGGCCGGCGCACTGTGCTGATCCGATGGCAGGAGCCAGGTGATTCTCCTGGTCTCCCATGGGGTGCAGGGCCCAAGCACTTGGGCCATCCTCCACTGCACTCCCGGGCCACAGCAGAGAGCTGGCCTGGAAGGGGGGCAACCAGGACAGAATTCGGCGCCCCGACCGGGACTAGAACCCGGTGTGCCGGTGCCACTAGGTGGAGGATTAGCCAATTGAGCTGCGGCGCCGGCCAGCGGCAGCTCCTTAACGGGAGAATCAGAAGACTGGGGTGTTCTTTGGTAAAGCTGAGATGGGGTTAGGAGTGGACCACGTACTTCTTACAGAGGCAGAGCTTAGGGAACAGAATCACCCTCGGTTCCTGCCTGAGCATGCACTCGCCCACTCAGGAAAGCAGGGATCCTGGAGAAGGCCCAAGCACAGACCATCTAGCAACTGTCCTAGCTGGGGACGCTCACAGTGTGAATCTTAGTGAATTTGCCTCTTCAGTGATAGTGGGGACAGAGGAAGGAGATGGTACATCAACAGCTATGGAGGGTTGGCTGTGGCCAGGAGAGAAGCCCAATATATGGAAAGGCTGGAGTTTAAATAGGTCTCCAAGTTCTCTAGCAGATCCCTTGCTGATCCAGCAAGGCCAAGAGACTGGCACCGGGATAGTAGCAAGCACCTGGGAAGAAGAGGAAGCCTGGGGCCCTTGGTGCTTTGCCTTTTCCAAGCCAGTTTGGGAGACTGGGAGGATGGGAAGACAGAGCATAATCAGAGAGTGTAGCCTTTTCCTAAAGAGAAATGACATAGAGCATTATAGAATATCATGACTGCACACAGCAGCTCGAGATCTCCGGTGTTAACAATTCTAGCTCTCCCCTTTGCTAGCTGTGTGATCTTGAGCATATTACTGAGGGTCTCTGAGCTTGTTTCCTCATCTTTAAAAATAGGGACAGTGATAATGCTCAACTCACAGATGTGGTCGTTTTGAGCAAGCATGCAAAACAGATTGTAGCAGCTAAGTGGAAAGTCAAGAATGTGAGCTATTACTGCTGTTAATACCACCTAACAATGACGCACACACGTTAGGCAGTTATTGCACTGCTGAGCTGCACCCACATCTCCCTCGATTATCCTTCCTTGGGTCCTCACCGGTGACTACCCAGCACATTGCCTGCTGACTTCCCGTACAGTTTCTGTCTTCACTTTGCAGCAACCCTGACCTGAAGGTGATCCACAAGATGCACAAATTGTTTCTTTTTTCACAAGCTAAGAATTATATTTAAATAGGCATTTATTCTAGGAATGGCCCAGGGGGTCCTCTCTTTCGGCCATCTTTCTTTGAAGGGTGAAGACTGTGGACAGGAAGGGCCTGGTAACAAGCCCCACACTCGACTGTGAACGCACGTATGGCCATGTGGGCATGCTTCCCCTTAGTGATGAGGAACAGGGGACCCAGAAATTTTCCTTTGAGAAATCAGCAACAAAGGGGTGTGGGGAGCTGGTTACCTGGGCATTCCTTGTTCATCACTAGCATCAGCAACTGCTTCTCTTCCCTCTTCTCCCTTCTAGAAGACCGGCAAGAAGGAGCCTGAGGAAGGAAGGTGGCTCAACCATGGTCTCGGAGAAAAGGAAGTAGGTTCCCCACCCCTTCTGGAGGGAGAAGGAATAGCAGAGATCAACAAGGATGAAGAGCAGGCAAACGGAAATAAAGAAAACGAAGGTAAACAGGAAATACCATTTTTGTTAAAAGAAAAAAAAGTGATGGCAAGGTAGAACAATGCAAGGTGGACAAAAGTAGAGGTTAAGAAGAGAGTAAGAGAAAGGAAAACCAGCAACCAGCAAATGAAGGACTCCCCTGTTAAGGTTAACCAGGAGGAGAGAATTAAGGCATGGATGGGAATGGATTTAAAACAAACAAACAAAAAAAGAAACAGCAAAAACAACACAGCTTTCCCATTCCCTTGGTGGGGAGTGTGGAGCAGACTGCCATCTTCTGGTGCCACTGAATTTTCAAGTTGCTCTGATTCTTGATTTGATGATTTCCATTCCTTATACAACCATAATTTTTTATCCTTAAGAGAGGCCCCAACACTGTTTCCTTTCATCTTTGGGGCTCCCAAGCATCATTTTCCCCAACATAGCTGCACCTCCTGGAAAGTCTCAGTGCACCCCGGCTGCAAGTCTGTGAGAGCAAGAGCAAAAAGCAAGGGGCAGAAGATGAGCGGAGGCTGGGAAGAGCTCTGGTCCCACGAGGCTGCAGGCTGGCTATGGGATGCCTCCTGGGCTCTGCTACAGACTGCCAGGCCCATCCTTAGCTTCAACGAGATGCCTGAGGTGCTGTGTGTTCTGACCTGAAGCACTAGGCTGCAGAATGTGGCTTCCGGCCTACCCTCTGTCATGCACGGATCACTAAGATGTCAAACAAGGAGGAACCTTAAGGAGATGACTTAACCCGAACCCAATTTCCCAGAGAGGAAAGTGGAGCCCAAAAGTGGGAAGCAACGGTCCCAAAGTTATAGGCTAGTCAGTGACTTCCTTTTCTTCTGAGGCACAAAGAATAAGCCAGAACAGTGATTCCCTAGGCACGGTCTGTAAAGTGCTTAGAGGCGAAGAGAAGGCACCCCAGAAAGGTTATGCTGGCATTTTTCTGGAAGCCCCTGAGTGTACCAGCTCCTTAGGCGCCTCATCATTGGGCTTGGTGTTGCTTTTGTCTCCATTGTAATCCTCAAAGCTGCCTGGAGGCCGAAGGAGCTCTGACAACCACTTGTCATCGCTCCCCAGCCAGCCGTGGAGACTGGCAGGGGTGACAAGGAAATCCTGTCACAATGGCAGAGACGGGGAAGCAATGGCCAATTTCCCGGGACTAAGCAAGGCAATTCTGGCGGAGTTAAAGCTAGGACGGGCAGCACTGAGGGACCTTGGAGGGGGGGGGGGGGCAGCAGCAGTAAAGGGAGCGAGTGGGCAACCCAGATGACTTCGTCCTGGGTGGGCGACCTCGCACCAAATACCTCCTCCGTTGCAAGGAAGGTCCCTACCCTCTGACTGCCTGGGCCTCCCGGGCTTGGTCACTCTGCCGGTGCCCACCCACGGAACAGAACGCCACCATCGCCCCCGTTCTGTTGCTTTTTTCCTAATCGCTGCGGGGCCTTTTCTCCCATGCCTTGGGTTTCTTCCGTCTCACTTGCAGCAGCGCTTCCCACCCAACCCGCCCCTCCGCCCTGGCCCACTTGGCTCTCCCGGACCGCTCCCCGCCAATCTGGGTCTCTCCCGCCCCCAGGTGCCTTAGGTTTTCTCTGCCGTCGGCCGCAGGCTCCTTGTCGCTATCAGATAAAGTGGATCCAGCCCTGAGGCTCTGGGGTTCCGCCACTTCCCGGGTGCTCAGGCCCCCGCAAAGCATAGTCCCGGCCGCCGTTGTTGTCCCAGAACTCGAGACCCGTGACTCGGTAGCGCAGGGCGAAGAGCAGGGCGCCCCCAATGGGCGGCGCGGGGAGCCGGAAGGCGAAGCGGTCCGCGCGCGGCGGGGGCGGGGCCGGGCCGGCGTAGGCGGCGGGCGCCTCCCGTTGGCTCCGCCAGCCGTCGGCGCTCCAGCGCACGCTCACGCGCTTCTCGTAGGCCAGGTCCAGCACGCGCGCGCTCCCGGCCACGCCCAGCGGGCCCGCCTCGGCGCGTTCCAGGCAGATGCGTTGCGCCTGCAAGCGGGCGGCGAAGCCGGGCTCGCTGGCCGGATCCAGGGCCGCGCGCGCCTCCTGGGGACAGAGGGAGGAGAGAGAAGGGGCGGGGTTACGGCGAGCGTGCGCCAATCAGAGGCCGGCCCCGGCGTCCCTACCGGCTGCGGGGGCCCCGCCCACAGAGCAGCCGAGAACCACTCCCGCTCCGCTGGCCCCCGAGAGACGAGCGCGCGCGCACACACAGGGTTGGGGATGGAGGTGTGTGTTCCCGTTCAAATCCACTCCCACGCCCCCGCAGCGTCCGGCTGGGGAGGTCCCGCAGAGGGGGCGTGCCCTCGCCGCCTACCTGGAGGCCGCGGGCGCGGGGCTGGCACGGCGCGAAGTGGCGGAGGGCGTCCCTCTGCAGCTGGACCTGCACGTGGCGGGGCACCCGGGGCAGCTCTCCTGGGCGGAAGCGGCGCACTGCAGCCAGCTCCAGCCCCAGCGCGTCGGCAAAGCGCACTCTCTTGCGGGTGTCGGGGCTACAGCTGCGGGGTACCCGGACCCCGCCTCCTCCGGCGGGCGCCGAACGGGCCCGGCGGCCCCGGCTTGGAGCGTGAGCGCGGGATCGGGCCCCGAGCCGCGTCCCGCTCTCGCCCTGCTCTTCCACGGGCTCCTCCTCGAGGCTGGGCCGTTGACTGCGGTAATAGGCTCGCTCTGTCAGCGCAGCAATGAAGCTCAGGTTGCGGGGAATGTCGGTGCGGGGCGGCCGCTCGCGGGACATGGCATCTCCGCCCCGCAGGGCCAGCCCGCCCCGGACGCCTCGGTGGCCCTTCGCCGTTGCGTCCTCTCCTTGCTGTCACCTCCAGGGCTCTGCACCTCGCGTGGCTCTGCCCCGCCTGCGTGACCCCCTTTCCTTCCCAGGGTCCTACACTATCCCATCCTGCAGCCGGCGAGCGTCTGCTCTGAGCCTGCGCTCGCGGACGTGCAGCCCGGGTCCCGCGGCCCTCGCCGCCCTGGCCCCCGCCCACAGCCCTCTGACAGGTGGCTCCGCATCTGTCTTCGCTGCCGCACCAGGGGGCGGGCCCTCCACCCTTTAAACCCCGAGTGAAGCCACCAGCCTTCTTTAATGTCCTCAAATTCTCCGGCACAGGAAGGGGGGACGCGGGGAGGAACCGACTAACCTTGCATTTTCTTTCAAGTGGAGCTTCAAAATACCCAGTGTGTGACTTTATTAGGGGTCTCCGTTGCCTTTTCTTAAACGCAAACTCCAGGTTTGGGAGGGGGTTGGCAACGAGTAGTCTGAAGAACGATCCTGAAAGGTAGATAAGAGTCCCTTCAAGCGGGGCTTCAGAGGGTCGGGGGCGACCGCCTCCCGGGAACAGTGGCCTTCGCGGAGCGTTTTGGGAGGACGGGTCTCTAGGCCCAGGTGCTGTGCTATTTAGCCGAGTGACCTTGGGCAAGGCACTTCTCTGGCCCTCAGGCTTGTCCTCTGTAAAAAAAAAAAAAAAAAGTGTGTTGAGGGCAGGGGCTGGGCCTGATTGGTGGTCAGTTTTAGTAGGAGGCAGGCCTTCGAATGAATGAATGAACACACACAGCTTTCTTGCCTTGGAGGCTGCAGGGTTCCAGTTCTGGTGGAAGCTTCCAGGAGGGCATAGAGCCAGCATTTTCCCCTTTCATTTTTATCTACATTCATGAAAATAAGAGAGAGATGTGTTCACTTTTTTCTAACATTCCTGCTGACCTTACACATCAATGACAATGTGCTATTCTTTTCTGAATACTAACTTAGGTAATATTCCAACATCACAGGAATAGAGAGGAGTAACATGCCTGTTTTACACATGAGAGCATTGGGGGAAAGAGGGTAATTAATTGGGGAGCTGGGATTAGGACCTCACAAGTCCAGCTTTAAAGCCCACCCTTAGCCACTTGGTTATATGAGACTAAAACGTTTAATAATCAGGGTCAGTGCTGTGGTGGGGTAGGCTAAGCCTCCGCCTGTGGCACTGGCATACCGTATGGGCACCAGTTTGCATCCCAGCTGCTCCTCTTCTGATCCAGCTCTCTGCTGTGGCCTGAGAAAGCAGTGGAAGATGCCCCAGTGCTTGGGCCCCTGCACCCACATGGGAGACCTGGAAGAAGCTCCTGGCTCCTGGCTTCGGATCGGTGCAGCTCCGGCCTTTTCGGCCATTTAGGGAGTGAACCAGCAGATGGAAGACCTCTCTCTCTGTCTCTCCCTCTCTGTCTGCAACTCTACCTCTCAAATAAACAAAAATATTTTAAAAGACATTCAATAATCAAATTTAACATCTCCAGAGTATTAAAATGGATAACTTTAGAGATGAAAATTCAGAAGTTAAAGCAGCAGGATAAATTATAAAGTCACAAGTGACTAAATTGAAAACAGTGAGACATACACCATCCCATTTATTATTGTACATTTCACTCCTGCCTGCATTTTTACACCAGGAATGCTGTTTAACCAGTAGTTATCTTTAAAGTGACATTGAGTTTTGTATTTTAAACATATAAAAATCCATGAACATATTATCCTAACTTACATATAAAATAATCATATACTAGTTTATGGGGCTGGTATTGTGGTGTAGTGGGTAAAGTGGGTGCAGGTTCCAGTCCAGGCTGCTCCACTCCTTACCCAACTCCCTGCTAATGTACCTGGGAAAGCACTGGAGATGGCCCAGTGCCTAGACCCCTGCACTCACATGGGAGACCTGGAGGGAGCTTTGGACTCTTGGCCCAGCCCCGGCAGTTATGGCCATTTGGATAGTGAACCAGTGGATACAAGGTCTCTCTGCCTCTCCCTCTGTGTAGCTCTACTTTATCAAATAAATATTTTACAAAATCATATGTTAGTTTATGTTATAGTCAAGCAGTTTAAAATGTTCTCTGATAACAAAGATGTGTCATTGAAGTAAAATGGATCGGGTTCAAGGCTGGGTTCTCAGGTTTTCCAAAAAGGCCCTGTTGCCTTGTCCACAGGTTAAGGTGCCATCTCTTAGCTCTGTGGTGTAGTGAGAGACAATCCTTGAGGTAAGTAGCTTTGGTGTAAGTTGCATTGGTCCCACAGCTGTGTTCTCCCGACTGCTCAAATACACACCAAACTTTAATTCCAAACCAGTCATTTCTTCTTAAACAGCCGCTGCAGTAATCTTCAAATGTCTGGTTGAACCTGCTCAATAACTGGCCAGAGACATTGACTGAGTCATTACATCAACATTTACAAAGAGCCTATTGGGCCATGAGGACATAAAAGTGAATAAAATTCAGCTCGTGCTCTTAAGGAGCTTAGAAATAAATGCTGGGACCAGCACTGTGGTGTAGTGGGTAAAACCGCCGCCTGCAGTGCCCGCATCCCATATGGGCGCTGGTTTGAGTTCTGGCTGCTCCTCTACCGATCCAGCTCTCTGCTATGGCCTGGGAAAGCAGTGGAGTATGACCCAAGGTCCTTGGGCCCCTGCACCCACTTGGGAGACCTGGAAGAAGCTCCTGGCTCCTAGCTTTGAATCGGCACAGCTCCGGTCATTGTGGCCAACTGGGGAGTAAACCAGCGGATGGGAGACCTCTCTCTCTCTCTCTCTCTCTCTCTTTGACTTCCAAGTAAATAAATAAATCTTTATTTAAAAAAAAAAGGGGGGGGGACCAGCGCTGTGGTGCACTAGGTTAATCCTCTGCCTGCGGCACCGGCATTCCATATGGGCGCTGGTTTTAGTCCTCGTTGCTCCTCTTCCAGTCCAGCTCTCTGCTGTGGCCTGGGAAGGCAGTGGAGGATGGCCCAAGTGCTTGGGCCCCTGTGCCCACACGGGAGACCGGGAGGAAGCACCTGGCTCCTGGCTTCAGATCGGTGCAGCTCCTGCCGTAGCAGCCATTTGGGGAGTGAACCAACGGAAGGAAGACCTTTCTCTCTGTCTCTCACTATCTGTAACTCTGCCTGTCAAATAAATAAATCTTTAAAAAAAAAAAGAAGTAGATGTACATGTTTGCATCTTTTAGGATATTTACTTGAAATAACAAAATGGTTTTTTGGTTCAAGTAAATTTCTTGGAAAAAGCTAGGTTTGAAATAAAAGCCTAGACTAGGTCTTTCTTTAAAGAAGGCGGCAACCTTGCCAGAATGATTGGCCCAAGAGCAAAGAGGAAATGAGGGTGGTTGAAAAGAGACAGCTGTAAAGGAGTAGAGAAGCTGTGCCTTTGGAACAGAGGCAGCAGCTGAGGGTGGACTCATAAAGGTTGTGGATTCAGACTACGAGAACCTGGCAACCTGAAGGGAAGAGGTGATCTTAAAGTAACACAGACAGACTTTCAGGTCAGACAGAATTAGCTTGAATACCAGGTTTGCTGAGCGGTTTGCAGCTCTGGGCAAATTAACCTCTCTAAGCCTCTGTTTCCTTACCCATACACTGGGCGTGCAGCTGCATATGGACTGGGGTGAGGATAAAATGCTATACATGTAAGGAAAGCACTTAGCACCTAATAAGTTCTCAAAATGTGTTGTTACCACTATGGCTACAGAAAAAAATTTGCTTCTCTAGTGACCATAAAGGCAGATGGGAATACCAAGGCTTGGACTGGAAGTAGAAGCAAAAGGAATAGAAAAAGAGAGGAACTGACCAACGCCGCGGCTCAATAGGCTAATCCTCCACCTGTGGCGCCAGCACCCCGGGTTCTAGTCCTGGTCGAGGCGCCGGATTCTGTCCCAGTTGCCCCTCTTCCAGTCCACCTCTCTGCTGTGGCCAGGGAGTGCAGTGGAGGATGGCCCAAGTGCTTGGGCCCTGCACCCGCATGGGAGATCAGGAGAAACACCTGGCTCCCGCCTTCGGATCAGCGCGGTGCGCCGGTTGCAGCCCGCCGGCCGCAGCGGCCATTGGAGGGTGAACCAATGGCAAAGGAAGACCTTTCTCTCTGTCTCTCACTGTCCACTCTGCCTGTCAAAAAAATAAAAAAAATTAAAAAAAAGGGAGAGGAACTGAGTTGCCTCTTTCTGGCCTTTGGTCAGGGCTCTCAGCAAGCACAAGAAGAGTTCAAGGAATTGTCAGCTCCAAGGAGACCAAGGAAGGGCTGGGTCAAGGTGCGTATGGTGCCTTTATGATGGCTTCAGGTTCTATATACACACATGGGCATGTGTAAGACACACACACACACACACACACGAGATCTGGAATGATAAACATGCCTTTTAGCATTGTCAGCCTGCAAGGAGAGAGGTGGACTTGTGTGGTGGGTGTGCGTGTGTCTATATTCACATAGTTGAGAACTCGTGTTTTAATACTCTACTTCTTTATTGTGTGATGTTTCTCATAGTGAAGAACGTGAGCTCATGTGTTGGGTAAAAAAAATAATAATAATAATCGACAAAAAAATCCATCGGAGTACAGAAGGAGAAGATGTAGAGAGAGTACCTGCAGGAACCACTGGCTATCCGTGTCCAGGCTCCCGGAAGCCCCAGCCCTCAAAGAGAGAGCACTGGTTCAAGGTCGTGGGGCTGGAGAGGAGTGGGAAAGGTCTGGTGTCCCTGTGATGTCTGCAAGCTCACCAAGGTGAGGCACACCACAGCCAGGCAGTTCCCAGCGTGGTGGGGGCTGCTCTTCCTTCCCAGGCACACAGTGCAGGCTGGAAAAGTTCCACAAGTACCTGGAACGGCACAGACCTTCTGCAAATGCTGGATTCGCTCTGCGATGTCCCCAGGCGCAGGGCACTGCATTGGGCAGTTCACGGGGCTCAGAAGCCCAGCTAGGCCCACGGTGCCTGCTCTGTCCGGCCCCTTTCTGCCTTTCAGCGGCCCTCTCTCTTCCCTAGCTGTGGCCCTTCCCAGGCCTGCGTCCCGGCCCCGCCCCTCTCTCTGGACGCATCTCTGGGCCCCATCATCACCCGGCGCCGGGCCCTCCTTCCTGCCACCCCCCTTTCTCCTCCCTCCTTCCTTCCCTCCCTTCCTCCCTCTCTCCCTCCCTCCCAGCTCCTGCACCAGGAAACGGCCCGGATCCCGGCCGCGGCCTGACCCGTGAGATCCCCAACCTGGCAGGCAGGCGGGCGGGGTTGGAGACAGGCTGAGGGTGGGGGTAAGGGAGGAGCTGGGCCTTTGGGCTGCCCTCGGGGGAGCCAGGACTGGAGCTGGTGTCGGCAGGAAGCCCTTGGCCCTGGGTTTCCCGGAGGACAGTCATTAAACATGGACTCGGCCACACAGCTGGCGAGCTGGAGGCCGGGGCCCAGTCCCAGGAGCTGCAGCACCTGCCCTTCCCAGGCCAGACCGCGGTCCCTGGCCTTCCCTGCCGGCTTCTGATCTCCCCCTCCCCTTTCCAGGGCGCCACGCTGGCCGGGAGGATGAAAGGCCCCAGCTGGGGGCTCCTTGCCACCGGTGCTGGGTCCTAAGCGCTGCCATCCAGGCTGGGTGAGTTTCCCTTTCCGTGCCCTGTCCCGGGCAGCCCTTTGCCTCTCCTGCCTTCCTCTTCAGCCCCTGCCTCCTCCCCATCTTCTGCCTCTGCCAACATCCTCACATCTTGCTTCTGGGGAGGTCCTGAGCCCCTTACCCTAGCCAGGAAGGTTTGTACTGGCGGGCCGTGTGTGTGTTGGGGGGTGATGTTGCGGGGGTGACATAGAACTGGTGTTGTCTTATGAAAAGAATCTAAAGTATTTTTGAAGTCGGATAGACTTGCTTTATGTATAATTTGGCCCTTATGAATGTACTGGCCAGCAGTCCCTGGAGCCCTGGCCCAGCACCATGACTTAATGCCCCTTGCTCTCATCTCTCCCTACCCGCCCCCCCACAGTGGTCTCTGAACATTTGCTTCGTCCCCGTCCTGGGCTCACTGAGTTGGCCAGGCCCGAGATGTCCCTCTGAGCCTCTGTCTACATATTCCCGATATTCATGCCGGTCTTTCATCCTTGCCTCTTACAGCCGCCCGGATGGCGACCCCAGCCTCAGCCCCAGACACACGGGCTCTGGTGGCCGACTTTGTAGGCTACAAGCTGAGGCAGAAGGGTTATGTCTGTGGGGCTGGCCCTGGAGAGGGCCCGGCAGCTAACCCGCTGCACCAAGCCATGCGGGCAGCCGGAGATGAGTTCGAGACCCGCTTCCGGCAAAACTTCTCCGACCTGGCCGCTCAGTTGCATGTGACCCCAGGCTCAGCACAGCAGAGCTTCACCCAGGTCTGCGATGAACTTTTCCAAAGGGGTCCCAACTGGGGCCGCGTGGTGGCCTTCTTTGCCTTTGGGGCCGCACTGTGTGCTGAGAGCGTCAACAAGGAGATGGAGCCCCTGGTGGGACAAGTGCAGGAGTGGATGGTGACCTACCTGGAGACGCAGCTGGCCGGCTGGATCCACAGCACCGGGGGCTGGGTAAGGAGCTTCTCCATTGCTATTGTACACACTCCTTGGCAAAGCTGTTCTCCCGGGGGGCAGATGGGGGCTCCCACTGGAGGCTGGGGCAGCTGGGCCGGGAAGGAGGCATGGGGGCTGAGTCTCCACGCGTGGGTGGGATCAGACCGAGAGACGCCCTCACGGTGGACATTACGCTTCTATACTCCAGGGCTGCTGTGCAGTAATCACTGGGCGGGGGTGGCTCTGGGTCCCCAGCAGAGAACGGAACGTACAGTACCCAAGGAGTGCCTGCAGGGAGGAGGTGTCAGGACCCGAATCCACGTCGTGTGGGAGGCGGGGAGGGTCCGGGACGGACAGTCAGGCAAGCTTTGGCACAGGATGCCAGGTCCAAGCAGAATTTTTCACCAAGGAAAAGATGGGGTTTGCTTGAGGCAGCGAAGGCGAATGAGCCGGGCGCTCTGGGCTGGGCTGGAGTGGGGGTGGGGGTGGGGTGCTCTTGGGTGGATCAGAGAGGCTTGCAGTCGGCAGAGCTTTGGCCGGAGAGGAGCTGGGTGTGGGGGAGTGCTCCCAGTGGATGGAACTGGAACCCTTCCTCTCTTTTTCTCTCTATTCTTTCCTCTCCTGACACCCCTTTCTCCTTCTTTCTCTTCTACTTCCCTTCTCTCCCACAGGCGGAGTTCACAGCTCTGTACGGGGATCGGGCCCTGGAGGAGGCGCGGCGTCTGCGGGAGGGGACCTGGGCGTCAGTGAGGACAGTGCTGACGGGGGCCGTGGCACTGGGGGCCCTGGTAACTGTAGGGGCCTTTTTTGCTAGCAAATGAGAATGTCCGGGGCCAGGTGGGGCCAGGTGTGGCTGGGGGCCAAGAGAGCAGGAACAGGACCGAGAAACACCCTTGGAGGAAGTGGGGTGAATGGATCGACGTGGGATGGGCAGGGGCAGGATGGTGCGTGAGGGAGCTGAGGAGGCTGGGCAGATGGAAGCGTGGGCTGGAGACAGTGGGGAAGGTTTGGGGATGGTCGTGGGCCAGGAGATGGAGTGATTCCAGGGTAGGGGAGCTGGGAGGGATTATACTGGAGGTGTGCACACAGGCAGCTACCTGGAGCTTGGCTTGCAGCCCTGAGCAAAGTAGACTCGTCTAAGGAGTTGTGTCTCCATTGGATGAGTGGCATTTGGGGAACATAGCAGGCACATCCCTTTGGAATGGAAGCTTCGGGTTCTCAGGTGTCCGGTAGAGGTGGCTGGGATCCCGGGCTGCTTGGACATGTGTGTGCATGTGCACGTGTGCGCATGTGCACGCTGGGCTTGCTTGTGTCCTCTGATGGTGGTGGGATTCTTCAAGAAGAAAACATTCCCTCTTGCAAGAAAGGGGCAGGCGGAGGGGAAGCAATTCTCAGTCCCTCCTCTGGTCCTCCTTTCCGCCCTCCTCTTGTTCTGATGTCTCAAGGCCAAGGGAGAAGAAACACTGTATCCAGAGGGAAGGCTCTGACTGGTCTCTGCAGAAAGTCCTTGGCCGGGCTGGGCAGGAGAGAGCAGCTCTGCAGCCGACCTTGTTCTTTCATCATCCCCCTTGGTTGTGCATCGCACTGGGCTCTGAGCAAAGGGCAGGGCTGTGGAGCCTGGGGGAGGGGAGGGTTTCAGTAGCTGGACCTGCCTGCTACTGTCCCCTCTCTCTGGGGCACAGTAGTGCCTGTAGTGGTCTCTGTCTCTGGGACCCCGAACCCAAATTTCAACTCCAAATTGGGGCTCTGATTTTTCTTTCTGAGGATTTGGACAGAAATGCTGATCTGGAATACAGTCTGGGTCCCATGCTGTGTCTCACCAGGACTGCTGACGCCTCAAGGGGGCCATTCCAGCTCTGAACCCCGTGGGTAGGAGGGTGACAGGGACTCGGTGACTGGCCTCGTCTGTGTGGTGGGCTCTGTGGCTGCTGCTTGAGCAGGGCCAGGTGTGTGGGTTCTAGGGCAGCCACCAGGACCGAGAAGCGTTTGTTTTCCTGGAAGCCAGGCTATTTGCATGGGTGTTCCTTGTCTGAAGCTCAGATCTGAGGATGCTCACTTCAGAAGTCCCAGTCCTCGGGAACAGATTCAGATTATAGGGGTTTTGTTTGTTTGTTTTTGTTTTTGTTTTTTATTTTTTTATTTTTGGCTTTTTGAGAAAGGAACTATTCACTCCAGCTGCATGCCCTGAGCCAGACCTCACTGCTGCACTTTCGGTGGTGCTAGAATCGCTGCTCTCCAATGCTGGCTTCAGACACAGTGTATCAGAGCCCTGCCCGTGACCCTGAGCTCTGAGGGGCTTAGCTAGACCACGGTTGACTCATCTTGGAGAGTCTCACTTGGTCCCAGAATGTGGCGACAGAGTTGTACCCGCTAGAATGTGGGACCAAATCGGCCTCAGGTGTTTACTCCAGACTTTTGATTCTGAGGGCTGCACTTTCAATGGTGTTTCTAGGGGAGGTGGTCGACTGCACGTGCCACTTGATCTGTTGTGAGTCTGCTGGTCCCAGAAGCTCAGAGCTGGTCTGTGGCGAGCAGGTGGGGTGGGGTGGGGGTGGGGTCTCTGACTTGCTCAGGACAGACTAGGCCAGTGGTTTTCAAACTGCTTGGCAGAGTCTTGAAGTGTCCTAGGGGTTGCCTCAGGAGTCCGTGAGGAGAGCAAGGAGGTGGGGGGGCTGAGCAGGCTGTGCAATTTGCCCTCAAACAGAACAGCTCCCCTTGTAGCTGTCTTACGTATCGGGGTTCAGGGTAAGATTTTATTTGCATTAAGGGGTTTGCTGCTGAAAGAAAAGAAGAAAGTTGGAAAACCACTGGCTAGACCATGGGTTCCAAATCAGAGTCTGTGCTCCCCCAGGTTTGGGGCAGACCCTCCTGCCCCACTGCAGGACGCCTAGCCCCTTCGCATCGCTGGGGACCTTGTAGCAAGCAGCAGCAGCAGGGACCACAGTCAGGTTACCCAAAATGTCCTGCTCCGAGGCCCTCATGTGCGGGTGGATGGAGTGGCCGAGGGCTCGGTCTGGATTCCCAGAAGCAGGGGCCGAGCGGGGCCACAGCGGGCAGTTTTGACCCGTCCTGCCCGTCCTAGCGTGAGGGCAATGGGAACCCCAGAGACTTCTGTCAGGGAAAACCAGGGACTCGTCTAGAGCCATATCGTTGCTTGGGATTCGCTCTTGGCCAAGAAGGCTGAGTATGGCTCCCCATTTTTAAATCCATTTCTTTTTTTTTTTTAATAAGGGAAATCAATGTAATTGCCATTTTTTCAAAGATGAAAAAGATAAAGAGGGTTTTTCTTGCTCTCCAGAGCCTGGAGGGACAAATAGGGATTTTGCGTAGGCCAGGGAAGGAACGCGAGCAGGGCGCTGGGTGCTGCGATGACTGATCCCACTCTCCACTTACTCTAGGGCACACACACACTATTTTACTTTTTTAAATCATCAGACGGCAGGAGAACAGATTTGGTTAGTTTAGAAGAAGAGAAAAAGCTCTATAAATATAAAGATATATTCCTGTATTTTTATTTAATAATTTATAAATACCAAGTTCATTTGACTTTTATTTTTGTGTAATATGTAATGATCGTATTAAAAAAATAAATAAATAAAGCCCAGAAGTTTAATGAGAAAAGGACTGAACAGGGTTTGTGACTTCTAACGACACAGCCTGGGGCCTGAACATTCCTGAATCCAGTCATCTCCTCCTGACCCTGGAAGGGCAAGAACTAAAGTAACTGGGCATTGGGAAAGTGTTGAGAAAATTTAAAGAAAAAAAAAAAGCAACAAATCAGAGTTGAGCCCCCATCCTCCTCACCCCACCCCTACCCTGGCCAAATGCCCAGACAAGAGCTCTGTCTGTCCCAACCCAAGCATGCTTCGGGGGTGGGGGCTGTGTAGATGGTGCTTCGGGCCTGCCACAAGAACAAAGTAAAACAAAGAAAGCCTACCCAGAATCTTTGTGTGATAACAATCAAGTCCCCAGTTGTGGTTCAACCTCAGACATGTGTGTGGGAATGGCCAGTTTTCCCTGATCTCATGATGCCTACTCCAGACTTCAAAAATGGAGTCCCTGCTGCCTTTCCTGGTTGCCTAAGAAATGGCTCCAGCCATTTTGATGCAAACTGCTAAATCGGATGGAATCTCCAAGAACATTCCATCCGTCCCTGTAACTCTAAGGACCATATACAAATCATGTCTGACAGGAATAGTGATCCTAATTTTAAATTTCAAGTGGGAACTCTTTCTACAATGTAGTACAATAAATCAGTATATTTGGGTTTATGTGTTACATTGTGAGAAATATAGTTGCCTTTCTATTCCTCCCTGTAGAAAAATCTACAGAGGAAGATGTATTTCTTTTTAAAAGATTTATTTATTTATTTGAGAGGGAGAGTTACAGAGGGAGAGACAGAGAAAGAGAGAAATCTTCCATCCGCTGGTTCACTCCCCAAATGGCCACAACGGCCGGAGCTGCACCAATTTGAAGCCAGGAGCCAGGAGATTCTTCCGGGTCTCCCATGTGGGTGCAGGGGCCCAAGGACTGGGCCATCTTACACCGCTTTCCCAGACCACAGCAGAGAGCTGGATCGGAAGTGGAACAGCCGAGACTCGAACTGTTGCTCACATGGGATGCCAGTGCCGCAGGCGGACGCTCAGCCTATGGCACCACAGTGCCAGCCCCAGGAAGCCATGTTTCAGAGAGTGGTTTGCTGAACTTCTAGGGAAGGGGGATTAGAGGGCAGTAGTTAAGATCTTCAGGAATGATGAGCATTTATCTCCACCACAGTAAGGTTAATTTAATGATTGATTGCTTTTTGCTTATTTCCAACAAGCATTTGCATTACCTTACAGTACTACACAAAAAACAAAAACAGCAGCCAGTCGAGGGGAAATTGGATTGTTAATAGTTGATGACAGTAAAAGGAAAATTAGTGCACTCTAAAGCATTCTATGTGTAGGATCCCCAGATACTAAAGCAAGGCTATGGTTTCAGCTCTGAGCTTCTTGGCAGCAAAAGCAGAGGGGAGAACACTGTGCGAGTCACGCTGCTCTTGGGCTTTATAAGAGCCTGTCTGTTACTCACGAGGGGCGCAGAGCGTGGCAGCTTTGCTGAGACACCGAGTGGTGCGATGGGCGACCCCTCCGTAGCACCAGATAGCAAGGTGAGGCTGAGATCTGCACCGCCCTGGGATTGAGGGTCCTCACCTGTTCCTTGGGGTGCTTCACGTGTAGCTCAAGTATGCTGCCCTGAGCTCCTCTCTCTGCATGAACGCGGGACTGGTCTTTACCCTGTCTAAAGGGACGGGGGTTTTGTTTCCCGCAGACCATTCTGCACCAAGGCTGTTTCTCCAAATGACACTTTTGAGAAAGTTGGGCAACAGGTAGTTAGAACTGCTAGCAAATGGATGGATTGTAGGTATCCTGTATTTTTACTTAATAACAGTTCCTTTGAAAACTTGAAGGCTGCCTTAAATATGGACACAGGAAAGATTTTATTTTAATTTTTTAAAGATGTATTTATTTTACTTGAAAGTCAGAGTTACACACAGAGAGAAGGAGAGGCAGAGAGAGAGTGGTCTTCTATCTGCTGGTTCACTCTCCAGTTGGCCACAACAGCCGCAGCTGTGCCAATCCAAAGCCAGGAGCAAAGAACTGCTTCCAGGTTTCCCACGTAGGTGCAGGGGCCCAAGGCCTTGGGCCATCTTCCACTGCTTTCCCAGGCCATAGCAGAGAGCTGGATTGGAAGTGGAGCAGCTGGGACACAAACCGGCGCCCATATGGGGATGCTGGCACTACAGGTGGTGGCTTTACCTCTGTGCCACAGCGCCAGCCCCTATTTTAATTTTTTTTTTTTTTTTTTTTTGGACAGGTAGAGTGGACAGTGAGAGAGAGAGACAGAGAGAAAGGTCTTCCTTTGCTGTTAGTTCACCCTCCAATGGCCGTCGCGGCCAGCACGCTGCGGCCGGCGCACCGCGCTGATCCAATGGCAGGAGCCAGGTGCTTCTCCTGGTCTCCCATGCGGGTGCAGGGCCCAAGTACTTGGGCCATCCTCCACTGCACTCCCTGGCCACAGCAGAGAGCTGGCCTGGAAGAGGGGCAACCAGGACAGAATCCGGCGCCCCGACCGGGACTAGAACCCGGTGTGCCAGCGCCGCAAGGCGGAGGATTAGCCTAGTGAGCCGCGGCGCTGGCTCTATTTTAATTTTTTAAAGATTTATTTATTGGGGCCAGCACTGTGGTGCAGCGGGTTAACACCCTGGCCTGAAGCACCGGCATCCCATATCCCTCTCTGCTATGGCCTGGGAAAGCAGTGGAAGATGGCCCAAGGCCTTGGGCCCCTGCACCCGCGTGGGAGACCTGGAGGAGGCTTCTGGCTCCTGGCTTCAGATCAGCAAAGCTCCGGCTGTTGTGGTCAATTGGGGAGTGAACCAGCGGATGGAAGGCCTCTCTCTCTCTGCCTCTCCTCTCTATGTGTAACTCTGACTTTCAAATAAATAAATAAATAAATCTTTTTTTTAAAAAAAGATTTTATTTATTTGAGAGGTAGAGCTGCAGAGAGAGAAGTCTTCCATCCACTGGTTCATTCTCCAAATGGCTGCAATTGCCAGTGCTGGGCCAGGCTGAAACCAAGAGCTTCTTCTGGGTCTCCCACGCAGGTGCAGCGGCCTGAGCACTTGGGCCATTATCCACTGCCTTCCCAGGCCATAGCAGAGAGCTGGATCAGAAGAGGAGCAGCCAGGACTTGATCCATATGAGATGCTGGCATCCTAGTTGGTGGCTTTACCCTCTGTGCTAAAGCCAGGAGCAGGAGCTCCATCCCAGTCTCTCATGTGAATGTCAGGGACCCAAATACTTGGGTCAGTATCTGCTGCCTCCCAAGCACCTTAGCAGGAAGCTGGATCAGAAGCAGGGGCAGAGGTGGGCTTGATCCCAGGCATTCCAATATGAGATGCAGCCACCCCGAGCAACAGCTTAACCTGCTGGGCCACAACATCCACCCATTCGGGTCACTTTTGAGTAAAACTGTGAAAAATAAAATAGGAAAAATATTGACACAAAGTGATATTTTTGTATTTTATTGAGTAAAAAAATAATTCAAGCCCATTTTGCTAAAATATATGTTTCTCTGTGCCTTTCTCTATATTTGCAATTCAAAATTTCAGGAATGCTGTATGCTCACGTATCATCAGGGATTATTTCCGGGTGGTAGATTTTAAGGGAGATTTGATTTTGTTCTTCTTTTGTCAATATCTTCTGATTTTTTTGGATCATGAATACATATTTCTGGTACAATTTGTTAAAACAAGTGTTTCAGGAATAAAGCTTTTAAAAAGTTACTCAAGAAGATTGGCAATGAAGCAACCCAGCTGAGCCTCCTTTGCATTTAAATGGCTACCCCACTGCCATGCCAGGGCAGACTGAGGGAGCTACAGTGGAAGATAATTGGGATCTGCTCCAAAACTGAGGTAAGTAAATAGAAAAGGCTCGAACAGAAATGTACTGCAAGCCGCCATGAAGCTTTCCATTTCCTAGTTAACTCCATTAAAAAAGCAAAAAGAACAGGGAAAACTAATCCTATATTATTTTTAATTGTGTTGAGAGACAGAAACAGAAAGAGAAAGCTCATATGCTGTTCACGCCCCAAATGCCTGCAGTGGCTGGGGTTAGGCCTGGCAAACTCCATCTAGATCTCACACATCAGTGGCAGGAACCCAACGGCCTGAGCCATCGCAGCTGCCTCCCAGGCTCTGCAGTGGCGGGAAGCTGGGGTCAGGGGCCAGGAATTGAACCTGGACACTTGATGTGGGCCACAGGTGAAACTATTCTTAATCACTAAACCCCCATTCCAAAATTAATGTTAATAATATTTACTTAGTCCATTATATAAAAAACTCTATTTCAAAATTTAATTAATATTAAACAGTTACTAATATGTTATTTCACATTCTCTTTCTCCTTCTGAGTCTTCAAAATTTGATGTGTATTTTATACTTCCAGCATGTCTCAGACTGGACTGGTCACATTTCCAGTGCTCAACAGCCATTTATAACCAATGACTACCATGTTACATGGTGTAGGTCTAGATCAGAGAATTATTGCAGTCTATAAACATTGCAAAGCAGGAGTTATAAAGAACCCAACTATGTCTGTTGTCTACTGAGAAAATGTCCCTCTGGACAGAACTGGAGGTGCCTCAGACATTTCTACTGCTTAATTTTCCTTTTCTCAACTTTGCATTTTGCCCACTTCTGGGGTGCAGTATCATAGGAGTTTCAGCTTTTCTCAAACTCCATGGTTCTCTATTTATACTTGTAATGGTGAAGCTCAGACAATCCCACACTAATTTGTTTCTCAGGTGCCATTGTTGTGCACTGGGGTTGGTAATAAGTCACTGCTTGGCACACCCACATCACATATGGGAGTAACAGTTGGAGTCCTGGCTGCTCTGCTGGTGATCCAGCTTCCTGCTGATGCACCCTGGGAGGCAACAGATGATGGCTCAGTACTTGGGTCCCTGCCAGCCGCTTGAGAGACCTGGATATAGTTCTAGGCTCCTAGCTTTGGCCTCACTAGGGCCTGGCTCAGACCTCACTGCTTGTGGGCATTTGGGAAATGGATCAGCTGCTGGAAGTG